ATTTCCATATTTCCATTTCCACTGCTTGTCCTTCGGTACCCGCTGTTAGTGGCTGCTCATCTGCCTCCCCCGCCCCTCCAGGAGAATCCCCCATTAGAGGCTCCAGTTGGATTCGTAGGAGAGAAAGCAACTCAACTGCAGCAGTGCTGAAGTGAGGAGCTTGGCCTCACCAAGCAACTTGCTGTACAGCTTCAGAGCAGAAACTGGTTTTCCTGGTCCAGGGTCCTAAACCACAACCCTTCTCCCTTGGAAAGGTGGATGGAGACCAGTACCAAAACTCCACTGACTTCAATGGCAAGTGAGATCAGTGTCAAACAAGAGCTGACATCAGAAACAGAGAGCGTGGAAAAACTGGGAATCAGGGAGATGGAAAATCTCCTGCAGTTTTCTCTTCATAAAAGCTAGCATTTGTGAGTCAGACCCACAAATCAGAGTCCTCTGGCCCCAGACAACATATCAGCCACTGTGTACTCAGCAAGTCATTAACATTATCAAGATGTCACCAAAAGCCACATTACTTACATGCAATTTGTTGTTCTGCCCTTACTTAGCTCTCATATCATATTTTATTTTATTTATTTATTTATTTATTTATTTTTACTGCTTCTGGCAAGAATTTCAGCTTCAGTAAACCTTTTAAATTGGTACCTGCTACCAGATGCACGTGGATTGGCACCAGGTAGCACACAAAGAAAAGCCCTGCTCTCAAACAATAAAGATATAATTTGTGCTTCCATACGTTTGCTCACGTTTCAGCAGATTGCTTTGTATTCACAGCTTCATTTCCCTCCACCATCCACAAGGAACGCAGCCGGCACAGGCACACAGCCCAGCTGCCTTTGTCCTACAAGCCCTGCTCTGTGCTCAGCACCTTTGTGCACACACACACACAGCAGCACACCTGAGCACCTTCGTGCACACACACACACACACACACACACAGCAGCACACCTGAGCAGAGGCCACTCCGGCCCCAGCAGAGCTCAGCTGTTGTGCCCACACTGACACAGTGGGGCAGGGCTGTCACCCAGATGTGACAAAGGCCTGCAGGAATTATGATAGCATCTAGAACAAAGTGCTCTGTCTTCCTTGCTTCGCAGCCTGGGGAGCAGCAGAAAGGAGCTGTACGCATCTCCTGCTTCGCTCTTTGTCTCAAAACAAGCTAAAGAACAGCACGGTGGGTCACAGATCTCGCTTTCAGTTCACAGCTTGCACCGACTTTTTTTCCTCGCAATTTCAGAACACAGCCTGGCTTATTTCCACATAGAAACACAACAAGAATCGAAATAATAACAATATACTAACAGCTAATTGTATAACAGTAGCAAAAAATGCAGCAGATTAGGGGAAAAAAGTCACCCACTAAGTCCCCACCGTCCTACTGCCACCAGATTTACTTTGTTCTCTCACTGCAGTCAGCAGCTCCCAAAAACACACAGCTACCTTCTCAGCGTCCACGCCCGCACCGTAGGGAAGCACCATTCCCAGCAGGGCCAGGCGGCCGCCCGCCGCCGCACAATGAGTTCGCAGCTGCAGCTCGGGAAGGCTGCGCCGCAGCACCGCCCGGCTCGGGAAGGCGTTCGCTCGGCGAGGAAGCGGACCCCGAAGCGGGCGCGAGCCGGGCGGGGCGGGGGTTCCTCCGTGCCGCACCTCCAACCCCACCCCGCGGGGCCGCAGCTCCGAGCCCAGGGAAGGCGGGCAGCCCGCATCGGGGCGACGGACCGCACGGCGCTCCGCTGCTTCCCCCTTACGCAGACGTTCGATCTCCGCAGAGAAAATCACCTTCCTGTAAAACACCCCAAACGCCTCCGAATGCCGAACGGAGAGCCAAAAAACCTGCCGATGTCACCCGATTGCATCACCACACCCCACGTCGCGGCGCGGCTCTGCCGCGGGCAGCGGCCGATGCTGAAACGGCTCCTGCAGCCCCCGGGCCGCCTTCCTCCGCCCGACGCACCCGGGAAATAAAGAAAGAAAGCGAATCGCGGAGAGACGGAGGGAGCGCGACGGCCGTTTCCCGGATGCACGCGGCCGGCGCGGAGCCCACCTACCTGCTTCTCTTCTGCGGGGCGGACGGGCGGCAGCGGGGCGGCGAGGGCGGGATGCCCGCGGCGGGAGCCGGCGGAAAGGAGAGAAAAAGAAAAGAGAACGAGGCGTGAGGGCCGCGGCGGGCCGCGGGGCGGAGATACCGCACGCACCGGACCGCCGCCTCACCTGGGTTGAGCGGCTTGCTCTTGTAGCGCGTGCCGGTGCTCATGGTGCCGGCCCTGCCCGGCCGGGAGCGCGGCGCCCGCCGACGGCAGCGCGGGGTGCGCCTGGGGACCGCCTGGGCGTCCCGCCCCGCCCCGCCCCGCCCGCCAATCCTGCCGCGCGCCCCGCCCGCAGCCCGGCCCGGGGACACCGCGCCGCACCGCAGCACCACAGCACAGCACCACAGCACAGCACCGCACCACAGCACAGCACCACAGCACAGCACCACAGCACAGCACCGCACCACAGCACAGCACCGCAGCACAGCACCACACCACAGCACCACAGCACCGCAGCACAGCACCGCACCGCAGCACAGCACAGCACCGCACCACAGCACCACAGCACCGCAGCACCACAGCACAGCACCGCAGCACAGCACCGCACCACAGCACAGCACAGCACCGCAGCACCACAGCACAGCACCGCCGGGCCTGCAGGGGGGGCGCCGCGGCTCAGGAGAGCGCTGTGCGCTCGAACGACGGACCGCTAAAAACGTCAAAAGCCAAGGGAATAAACAGGGAACGCGCTTCCAGATTTAGCAGCCCGAAATGTCGGGGGAGGCACTGAATCACGCTGCAAACTTACTCCGCAAAGCAGGAACGGGCTCCTCTGCCAGCGTGCCATTTTAAGAGCAACACTGAGTTATTCTAGGTAAAGCTGCCGGAATAACGGGAGGAGGGGGCAGGAGAGCTCCAACGGATTTAGAACGCTCCCAAGGAGGCGCGAGCCCACGACTTCAGAACAGCCGAGGGACCTGAGCTGAACTGCCACCATCGGAGCCGTGCGGCAGCCCCGAGCCCACGGCCGCAGGGAGGGAACGCTTCTCCCCCTGCCGGGACAGGGCCGTAAGCCAGGAGCGCAGAACCGAGCGGCCGGGCCCGCTGCTGGCCGCACAAGTGCGAGGACAGCCTCCTCTCCACGGAACAAAACCGTCGCTGATACCAACATCTCCGATCCTTGCGGTCATCATCCCTCGTCATTTCTTCCACCCACTCATTGAAAACGTCCCTCGTACCCAAACAAGGAGACGCTTCCAAACCCAGCAGCTGGCAGTCCCGGGCATGTGAGATTTCAAAACCCATTAACTTGCTCCCAGATTGCTTTTAGCCATCGATTCAAAACATCACAGACAGTATTTCATCAATCGTTAGCATACTCATTTTTATAGACCAGACAACTACAGACCATCAAACTCCACACCGCAATTAAAGGCACCAGTGACCCCACCGGCAATTCAGAAGCTGCCATTAGTCTGCCACAGTGCTTTGAATCTAATGAAGACCAGAAGGACCTCGGGCACCTGCTCCCTGATCCTGCCAAACAGGAGATGGCCGGGCAGAGCCGGGCTCCTGGGCACTGCTGGCACTGCGGGGCAACGCAGGAAAGCTCTGCAGAGATCTCACAGCAGCAGCTTGGCTTAAGGAATGCACGTCCCCCATTGAGCTGTGAGGTAGAGTGAGAAAATGAGTTCAAAAGCAGCTGAAGATTAATGGCAATTAGTAAGAAGTGAGGTACAGATTAAGCCCGTTTTGAAAGGAAAGCACACAGAATAGTGAGTGCCAGGGACTGGGCCAAGAGCTGCAGGTGCAATTCACAAGCCAGGAGGAAGCAAAGACCAGATCAGTAATCACTATCTGCTCCTGGTCTGTAAGAGCTCCCACCCGGGAGCTGTGACAGTGACTTTTGATGCCTTGCTTTGGAAAGACGGGGAAAAAAGCCCTAATTTTATTAAATAAAAAAAAAGAGATACTTTTAGAAGCCTACTTCCCTACTGTCCTCATTTCTTTTGCAAGATGAACCTTTCATGTTACCTTGGCTCAGAAAGCTAACTCAGTACACAACAGAACGCCCTGGTTTTGGTGAAGGGTGCAGCTGTTCTTTCACATGCACAAAGGCACAGAGCATCATTTGGAGAAGGTTGCAAAACATGCTGCAGAATTCTGGAAGGAGCACAAAGGCACACATAAGGGCACGCAACCCATGTGAAACAGGATGTTTGCAGTTACAGCTCTCACCTTGGCTCTTGACAGACATGTTTAACATCCAAATCTCCATAAAACCTGAAGTGGCTCTGCAGCTGAAAACAAATCTGTCATTTCATTTCTTCTTTCAAGTTCATCAGAGCAGCCAAGATAACAAATGTCCACTTGATGCAGTTTAAGTCCACAGGCCAAATACGCACCCTGGTGATGCAAGCCTTTTGTGAAGTCTGTCCTGATTAAACACTCTTTGCTAGACAGCACAATTAGGGCTAACAGCAACACGACAGACACTCCAAAGCAGTACAGAATACAAAGCACCTCAATTCCATATTTGCAAGACAATTTACACTTACATGCATATGACACACACAGGACTACATAAGCATGCATGAGAGCCACGCATGCCTAACGGCACGAAGGGAACAGCAACAGCCACAATTCACAAACCCAGGTGTGTGATCCCATTTCCCAATTTACAGACACAGCCAGTGTCAGCAGATGCATCCTGAGTTTTGCAGAAGCAACAGCAAAAGCAGATGTGAAGATGTGCTGCCTAACTTCCAGTGAAAACGTTTGGAAAGGTGCTTTGAAATGAAATCACAGCAGTAAATTCTAGAAGAGCCTTCCATTCTTCAGGCCAAGTACCACGACTCCTTTGAAGACACTCTGCAAGTCACCAATGCAACAACTCACAAATCATCAAAAAACAAGAACAATGCAAATAAAACAGAGAGAGAAAGGCAGGAAACAAAAATCACCCCAGAATTCATCTTTTTCCACATTGATACAATTTATTACAAAACCTCCATGAAAATTAGTGTTATGGTATATAAAAGGTTCAGTACATGCCACCACTCAGCTGGGAACGCTGCCATAGGAATATCTGCAAGCAATACTGGGACCTGAAGACAACTCTCCAGAGGCATCCACATAAGTTTCTGGCATGCATAGTGTTCATGGTATTTTAAGGCACAATGATTCAGAAAAGTCAGCTTCTTTACATCGCCGGCGAATCATCAGTGGTTTGTATGTTTTCTCATACATCACACAAACACAAATCACCAGAGATGAAGCTTGAAAAAGAACTGAAGCACAGAGAGTTATGAAAATCTGACATGATATAGAATGGCTTAAAATAGCAATAGAAAGTCACGATACATGAGAGCACATTTACTGCCAACAGGCCACAGAGGCTTTTAGCACTAATCACAAAATAGTTCAGAACAATCTAGATACACAATTAACTCCTTGCCCCAGCACAAGGCCTAGTCCAAACAGCATGCTTATCCATTTCTGTACCAAAAGGCATAGGAAGAATATAAACACATTTATAAGTATGAAGACAGTGTTAACAAAAAAATCAAAAAAGATACAGGATAACTTGATTAACTTTGAATATATAAAACAAGCAGTTTTACAACACAATCTTCAGACTCTGTGTTTTAATGCAGGTCTTGATCTGCAGAATCCGGCTTTTGCATGTGAACGTTACCACTTGGTCAAAGAAAACAGAGCACCCGTCCACCTAGAGGACAACGCTGCTGCGAACAGAAGTGGAAAACAAACAGCATTAGAAAAGACAAATTCCCAGCACTACTGGCATGCTTCTGGCATCCCGATCCTGACCCCTCCTAGCAAAGCAGCATAATCCAGGGAACAGAGCACTCACAGGGACCTGCACTACAGCTGCATCAGCTGAGTTAGACGACCTGCACGGATATCTGTATCTGTCTCACATCTATCAAGAGCACACGCAAGAGAATCCATTTTTAGGTGCATCCTGCCTTCAGCACCCACACTCCCCTTCGTCTGCAAGAACTGCGCTGCGGCTCAGCTGAACAGAACTGCACAGGGGAAGCAACCTCTGTCTGCCTGCAGCGTGCAGCTTTACTTCTGACACTGAAAACTGCATTTAAGAGCACTTACATCTAACCAGGGCTAAAATAAGCAGCCAGCTTGATGTTACGCACAAACACAACATCATGGTCTTATGACACTGCTTCAGTAAAAAAGGAAAGCAAATGGATTTTTCCAAGCGTTCACAAAGCAGTACTCATACTGCTGAAAGAAGGAGCACTGACCTATCACTTCAAAAACGACTCCCAGTTTTGCATGTGTCGTTAGTTACTTGCCAACTGAAGAAAGCACAATTCCAGCTTTCCCTGAAAATCAGGTCCTGCTTACAAAAGCTGTGACAGATTTGGAACTTGGGAGGCACCTGCAGCTCTCCAGTCTCCAAAGGTACTCCTTCCCAAGTAGGAAAAGTAGCTCAGCTTAAGCACCCAGCTGGATGGCAAAAAAGAAATATGCAGTGTCAGTACAGCACCTATGCAGACTGCAGCTGCAGAATACAGCTGGGATGAGGCTGAGGGAAAGCTGGCCGGGGGTCCTTCACTCCTCATGTCCTGAACAGAACCATCACTGTTAGGGAACAGCAGTTCCCTACGACTGTCAGCAGGGCAGGGCCTTCACCTCACACAATCCAGCCCAACAAGCAGCATTACGGTGTTGAAGCTGGAGACCACGCACTTCTAACCACCTTTAACATTCAAAGGCAAAATTAATTTCTTGTGCTACACTGTTACTTCAAATACGGAAGAGAAACTAATTTTCTGCCATTGCCTGCATAGCTCTGATCTGTTACAAAACACATCAGAAAGAAATGGTAACCAGCGTCTGTGACAGTGCTTCCAATAAACACCAAGGCTCTGGTTGCAAGCACCAGCGTGCACTGATGTTAGCAACACAGCAACACGACGTCCACTTGTTATGCTCATAAAACATGACTGAGCACAGTATGTTTCAGGCATTTCCAGCATGCATTTGTTTCACTGCTTTCCTCCCCATCTCCTGATGAGACAGTATTTTATGATGCATTAGGTTACTACGGCTCTCTACAGATTTTTATATCCATTTTTATACACCAATATGTGAGAGATTCCCCCATACTTTCTGAGTGTGTATTCATTAAATGCCTCTACCTGCAGCCATTGCCACCATTCTTTAATGGACAGCACAGTTGTGCAGCACGGCGCTGTGCTCAGTGGGTGCCCCAGCATACACACACACCTCACACACACAGCACCAAGAATCCTGCACTGGAAAGGCTTAGGAAGACATGAGCTCGCCTCCCCCTCAGCGCCTTCAAAGAACACACATCAAGGTGCTCTGCATTGCACCGATCTGCCTCTACAGTTCTGAATTCCCAAGGAGAGAAATGCGTTTTATAGCAGTTACATTTTCTTACTGACCTAAATTATCTTTCTTCAAACAGCCCCCATTTTGTGTTTTATGTAGCCACAACCCTTTCACTTCAATACAACAACAATAGTTAGCAAGAACTTGGAGAAGCTGAGTTTTCCCACAAGGCTTTGCTTCACAGCTAAATTCCAGAGCTTCTGTACCAGGATAAACATTTGCAAACTTCGTTACAACTCCTGGAAAAACAAATCTGTAAGTACTGGATAGCATCAATGTCCAGTTGTTAGCTAGCTTTGACTCATGTCGTTACTCACAACCCCAGTATCTGGGGTTACAGCTGAACTTCAGTCACTCTCTGCTCCATTCCCTCTTGCTGGTCCGTGGCAGCACCTTACATTTTCCCATCATAAATGTCACCAGCCAACTGCACTCAGCTCCAAACCTGGCTTTTAAACTGCTTTCCAACACTTACCAGTTCGTTAAATGTGCTAATAGGCTTAATATCCATCGAATCATACATACCAGGCTCAGAGCTCCAGAACTATTACAAATGTTTCTCTAAAACTTTTATTCAGTAAAAAGCTGCCTGAAGCATTTAGGGGCCCAGCATGGTAACACACCAGGCTCTGGCACAGCTCTGAGAGGTCCAAGTGCCTCACTAATGCCTATGGAGCTCTGGAAATAAACACCTCCCTTCACCTTCTGCCTCCAGTCCATCTAATGGCCATCTCAGATGCTGCAGTGTTTCCATTTCTCAGTGTAAAGGCGGAAATATTCAAACTGTATCATTCCTTGGATATCAAGCCCCTATGAGGCAGGAACAGAAAAGTGCCCTGGTACAAATTCACAGGAATTGCACACGTCCCCATAGCCACTGCATGGTGGACTTCATCTTTCCCACAGCATCTGCATGCTACAGAAAAGCAAATAAATGCATTTCCACTCACACTCACATTTCCCCACAAAACAGGATTTCCGCAGGGATCCATCAGGAATCTGATAGTCTCTCTAACCAGGGGTCATTTCATGAAAATAAAATAAATTTGTATCAATACATTGACTAACAAAATAGTGATACTGAGATACAGCTTGGTGTAATTATGTGTAATTATCAGAAAACTCACTATTAGGTGTTTCAGTCATCTTCATTTCATGTTTTGCGAAAGCAAATTCCTCAGAAAGCCCTTCAGTCTGCAAAAGTGCAGCCTGCAGAGTGCCATCATCTGTCCCTCCTCTCTTCCAGGTAACTGAGTCTCAATGGGAAAGTAGTTTCGAAGACGCATCTCTCCTACGTTGTTAGAAATGATACCCTGCTATTTCTACTCCTTACTGTAAAAGGTCCTGACAAATTCCTGGGGATTTTGCATGCAGAAATTGTGGAGTGAAAAAAAAATCCGTCCAGGATTCTTCAAGCAGACTGCATGTAGGTGCAGCAGGTCAACAGACCTGACTAACGCTTCAGACTTACGCACCTAACCAGAGATAGATTCTTGTTTCTGAGCAATGTCTTGAAGTTTACCACTCTAAGTCCCAACGTTTTTCCTGCTGGGAGAATCGAACAACTGATTTCCTGTTAGAAGACGCAAACAGGGACACGCAGACAGCCCAGGCCGCAGTCCAAGCACAACATCTCATCTCACGTTCTCGGACTGTGCGTGGAAGATGGCTGCTCTTACCAGCTGAGAGCAAAGCGGACTAACAGGGAGATATTATTTTTACAAGTTGTTCTCAGATGGACAATTCATACGAAAGCTTTACTGCTCTCTGTGTGGAGGTTTAAGTCATACAATGATTGTTCGAAGCGTCTCTGCCCATTACAGCGAGGGCAGGTGGGCACCAGCTGTGAGCAGGAGGATACCAGTCACCAGGCAGCCCCTAAGGAGCCAGCCAACATTTTTCTGTACAACTTCAGCGTCCTATGGAGCCACACAGATTCAGCACTTCAGTTGTACAGCAGCAAAGAAAAAATAGTTGTATCAAAGTCTGCCCTCTGAGGGAAACCAAAATTTGTGCTAGCCCATCAATACACAGTTTGTTGAAAGGCTCCAAAACGAAGACAGCTGAACAGCGCTGGAGAATGACAGCACTCTTCTAATCCAGTTTCTAGCTAGAGAAACAGCCACTGGCACTGCCAGGCAGTTGTTCCAAATAGTACAAGTTTGCCAAAGCATCACATTCTCTAGCCTTTCAATTTCAGCTGCCAAAAACTACAACACGATCTGCACTTGCTCAAATGACTTTTCAGATCAATTCGGCATTCAGTAGCAGCATTTTAGAAGACTGGTTGCCATGACAATGCTTTGTGTTTTTCAGTTAAATGATGTCAATTTGCTTGAGGAAGAAATAGCCTGTTTGGTGCCTTTATCAAAAATCAGAACAGCGTCAGTCAGAAAGCTTTAACACGCACAGAAATCACAGCTCACTATAAGGACTAACGTGCTATAATTACCTCAAAACGCCTTTTTTCCCACATGCATTTCCCTAACCAAAAGTACGTTTTAATTGGCTGTTTATTTCCCACAGACTGACTGCTGTTACGGCGTCCCAGTATGACCCTGAAGCTATGTGTAAGACAGACAACTCAGATTTGTAAGAACAAGAGGAGAACAGATTGCAAAGAGCTATACTTTCAGAAGCAGAAAAGGAAAGAGAAGAAAGCCCTACCAATAAACATTTCACTTGAAAAAATAATTGCTTCAGAAGGCAGTAAACATGCTGGTAGAGTTACCACAGGCTTATTCCAACAGGCCATACGTATTTCATACTGGAGTAAACAAATACTACTAGTATTTTACTAGTATTAGTTTTAGTTGCTGGTAACTTGGCCCCACTCCTCCCCTGCTTTCTCTGAGCCTTCATTTGAACTGTCAGTGATAAGAAGCAATAAGCCCCTACCACTTTGCAGCAATCTCGCATCCTGAAAATTAAAAAGGAAATAATAAATGAAACTTAAACTCATTTTGAAGCCTTTATTAAACTTCACACGGACTTGTAAGATTGGTGTAACAAGAATTATTCTAACCTTACGCCGGTGCCTAGCTGAGCCCTCACTGCCTGCTGCAAACACCTCTATGCACACAGTCTGCACATTATTTGTGAACTTAAGCACATCATCGTGGTAAAAATCTGCATATGTCACCCTGCCCTGCTTCTCATCAGCCTCAAAAGCTAATGGAAAGGAAACTGCTTGCAGTAAACTGTCCCTTCACTCTTTTAGTAAGTCTTTAAAGATGCCCCTAATTCAGAGAGGACCAGAAAAAACAGAACTTCCAGCCATTCCTTCTTTGCAGCATAAAACACCATACAGACTCACTGTCTTTTGGGTAAGGAATTAACTTCAGCACATCTTAATCATTATGCAATGCCAGATTCTTTCCAGACAATCCCAAAGCATTCAGCATCCACACCTCGTTCCCAGGTGCATCTGAAACCCAGAAGTGGGCATTTCACGTGGTCAGACATCACCACATGTAGCCATCCTGCCCTGCACTCTCTGCATCTCACCCATGAGGTCATTTACACCACACTGCTCTTTTCCCAAAATGTCTGAAAACACCTTTACGTGTGCTTTAAATTTCTGCACGTGTGTTAAAAACATTTAACGGATTTTTTAAAGAAAATATAAAGATGTACTTATCCAAAATAAGAGCAGTGCAAACAGTAACTTTACATCTCGTCTATGAAGTTATGTACATTTCTCAGCATAAAAGAAAGCAAAAGTGCTGAAGAGTAACTGGAGGAGAGGCAATGCTTTCAGTTACAGCACTGTCATAAGCTGATCCTTAAATGTTCCTGTAAAAGTAGAGCCTAAGAGATGCTCAGGATAAGCTGCACAAGAACAAGAAGACTGATACCAATCTTCAGCGTGGCACACCACACTAACTGCTGTTAATTACAAGTTTCCTGCTTCCTCTGGAAATAGTTAGAAATACTAACAAATAAATCTGACGGAATGCAAATCTGATGGAAGTTGAACTCATCATTCCTCCTGAACTGCAGACAGCACACATGAGGAAAACCTCCGTTGGGCCAAGTTCCAGCTGAGGATTCACACCACAGGATCGTGCAGCCACACTCCAGCTTAGGACTACCAAGGTGGCTCTGACTGTGCATCACGGAAGCTACACGAGTTACCTGGAAGTCTACAAATCAATATCTGAGGGGTAAAAACAAGTTCCAAGTTCTGTCCTGAAAACAACTGCTGAACAACATGAGTGCCCAAGCAGCTGCAGGAATCTGGCTTTGCAGACTCCAACCAAACAGCAGGACCTCTGCATATAAAGATCTTATCCAAATGCCTCCCAAGTTTATTCACGTTGGGTACTTGAATCACTGAAATACTAAAAGGAAACAAGATGTAGTTCAAACTTAATCACTACCAGATCATGCAGTTAAACCCAGAGAGCTTTCCTGCTTCATAGACGTAGTGGTCCAAGATGTATTCCAGATTAGTAAGTTATCTAAAAAATAACATTTCATTTGAATACATGTGGGCATGCTCACGGCTTTGTTTACAACACATCCAAGGCTGCAAAGTGAGCTTGGGGCACAGCATGCTGCAAGTTGTTTCCATGAATACCATATCCAGGATTGCCAGAAGCTGTGAAATGCACAGAACCTGGTGCACTGCTGGCTACCTGTGCTATGAATGCTGCATCCTATCAGTGCCCAGATGCTGACCACGCAGACATCCTGCACTCTGCAAGCGACAACTATGGACAAAGCAATTACATTTAGGGAGATTTTTTTACTTACCAAGTATCAGTTTAAGGGATACCATGTGATTAAGCATGATTTGTAAGCTGCAGAAAGAACTGTGCTAGTTTGCAACAAGAAATAATGATTCATACTATGCGAGGTTTCCCCTATCAAACAGCTATTTTCACGAGAGGCCAGAGTCTGGCCATGTGATAAAGTCAGCATGAAATCCTGGGACCTTTACTTTAGGCTAAAGAATTTAACAGGCTGAATAACTACCAGCTCCTGCCTGAGGAAATGAGAGCTTTCTGCCAGGCCCTGCTATCACATATGCTGCATGGTTAGCCACAAATTAACCTCAGTGTTTAGATTTCCAGCTCAGGGAATACATATCTCATTATGGAGATTGGAAGACATAATGTGAAGATTACTTTACCTGCAAGACTTGGAATTGTAACAGCATGAAACCTGAGCTTGAACTGCTGCTTCCCCTTAACTACTTCTACTAAAGATTACAGTGTACCTAACAGTAAAACCACCAACTTCTGCTTAAACAGGAGCCCAGTGAATAAGTTTATTTCTTAGGAGATTGTTTTTTTAAATATATAAACAGGAAGACTGAAAGTTCAAATAAAGGCAACAAAAATCTCCTTATTTTAGGCTTGGAATGTTGGCAGCTGCCACAAGGTCATGAGGGATAACATAATCCATTTTATTCAAGCTTTACATTCCAGAAGACCAGCAATCAAAACTGGAGTATTAAACTGCAGTGTTAAGCAACAAGACACCTCACATCCTTCTGGTTTTTAATCTTGCATTAAAAAAATAAAACATGCCAAAGAACTGGAAAAAGAAATGAGTATTTCTGAAGACAGAGTGAATATTTGCTACAAGAACCTTTTTTCCTTCACTCATTCTGATCTCATTTAATATATCATACCTACCATCAAGCATTCAGTACACTTCACCAGCTTGTCTAAAATTTCATTTGTTTTAAATTCAGAAGTCTACATACCCCAAATACTCTACTTTTGTTTATGTAGAGACAAACTAATATTTTGAACAGCTTTTTGCTTGCAAAACCAAAGTCAGATGATCCAAAAAATAAGGCATTGAGGATAAGCATTTGCAAATCTTAATGACAGATGGAAAAGCAGTGTTTGCATAATGTTTTTAATGTAGCAGAACAGCACTCTGTTTTACTAGAAGTGCCATGAAGGCATGTCCCAAGTGCAGAACTGGCAACAGTCACTTTGAAAGCCTTATGTAAGAGGAGTACACAAGTCAGAAAAGTCATACCTGATGCACCCAGCTATTCAGTATCTTAGTCATCTCCAGGCTTCATCCTCATCTGGGCTTGCATCTGAGCAATCATCTCCTGCATGCGGCGCAGCTGTAAGAGAAACACGCACCTGTTTAGGACCATCTCTCAGCTTCAACACGAGAAGTCCGAAATCCAGGAAACTCACAATGCTTTCTTCCATGGCAGAAAGCAGATCCTATTTGCCTCCTTCCAAACCAGGCACATGTAACTCATTCACAGAACTGAATACTGTATTTTTCCCAACCCAGATTCTTCAAAGCATCGCAAAGTAACTGCACTGACACACAGAGAATGCGCTGCTCCCCACCAAGAACTGGCAAAGAGCAGCTACAGGTGCCTGTGTCACTTTCCCTTGCCTAGCTTCAGATGCAGATCTGGGAGATAAGAAACAGAAGTGCATACACTGCACTAAAATTAACTGCCTTATATACTGGGACACATCTCTTGCTGCAGCAGAACAGGTTCAGCAAAGACTAACTCAGGCTCCTATGACTGCAATGTAGATTGACTCTGACAAAAGGAGATCACAGCAACAGCATGCTCCAGCTAACTACACTGACTGTTAGACATCCATCTGTATCTTTTCACTAAACAGTCAGAAAGCCTCTGACAGAGAGATGGCAGGCATAGTTCTGCAGGGTGGAAAAGAAAAGAAGTAGGAAGATTCAGACATGAGAGCTGTGTTGATTCTTTGGTACAGTAAAAGAAAACTGGCTCAAAGATCCATTTGTACAGATGCAGGACACCTGGTCTTTGAACGACCCTACTGCAGATTTATCACCAGAGCAAAAACTGGCTTTACTGGGAGCTTGTCTATTTGAGCTTTCCCAAGAACACTTAAAATTGAGCCCTGAAGTGTTCCCAAAATAGAAAACATTCAGTAATCACAGGGGAAGATGCTGTTCCATGTGTATTATGGTGATTTTTTCAAATTAGTATTCTGCTAATAGTCAACATCACACATTAAGACTTGAATGCATCTCTAAGTCTCACGTCCTCTTAACCTAAGGGATGAGAACATGTCCATACCATGAAAGAATAATATGCTCGGAGACTCACATTTAAGATGAGACAAAAGAATTGACACTAACACCAAGATGGTAAGGTTTTCCTTTTACACATGATTCTGGTGTTAGTCTGTGCCATTAGCTAAACAGTGGCAGGCTGCTGAAGCTCTTGGCAGAATTCAGGAAGGCTTTCAGGAACAACCAGGCACACTGCACACATAACAGACACTGATGTTTCTTTTTAACAAAAGAAGGCTGGCAAAAAAAAGTAAAGGAAAGCAGAGCGACATGAACACACATCATCTTCAGGAGACAACTGTAGTTTTTCATGCATTTTGTTCTGGCTTTCGCTGAGCATTTGATATGCAAACAATCCCAAGTGGTTTCTTCTTGCTGTAAAACTACAGCTTCTAAACGTCTCTGCTCCAGGTCTCAGCCATGCATCTCATAGCAGCACGCTCAGCACACAGCCTGTGAGGATGCCAGGCTCTGCCCAGCAGCAGCAGCCATAACTGAATTTAGGGAGAACACATAAATATCTCGAGAAGGAAATCATCTGCACCGTATAAATCCTGGCAGCTCAAGTGTGGAATTCACAAATAAATATTCCTGCCTTCTGCCCAGCCAGGGAGTCAACCCAAGCTGTACTCAGCACGGTAACCACGCCAGTCTCTTCCAATGTTCCTCTTCAAGTGAAGAAAGGACACAAGAACCATTTCCACGTGTTACAAGTTCAAAATAAGTTGTGTCTCACCCCTCTGGAAGCACGGTGTAGAACAGTCTTTCATCTTAAGATGAATCTTAACGCTTCACACGTGACTCAAAGTAATGCCTCTGCCCCTGCACTGGGGCAGAACAAGGCAAGGGCCTACAGCACCTTGGTCTTGCACAGCAATAGAGGCCCTTACTGTAAGAGCACGATTAATACATTCTGCAGGGAACTTGCACACGTTCCCTAAAGAAACACGACAGCACAGAGATGATCCACAGGACAGCAGAAAGCCAGGAAACAACATTTAGAAATGTGAACAAAAGAAAGTTTCCTGCAAGTTCCTGGACAATGAAAAGAGTAAATGTAACCATGGTGTAAACTCCATCTATTTCACTTCACCAGGACTAAAAGGGAGCTTAAACTATCATGTAACCACTGGGTGCTTAACACATACAACACTTGTAGCAACACAAAGGAAACAACCGGCTTCTAAATCCCAGTGGTTACAGGGCTCAGAGGGGATCCCAGCTTCCAACAGCTCCCAGGCCCACACAGAAACCACAGGTCAACAGTTCTGCATTACCTACAAGACTTCATCCCAAATTTTGCCCACAATACAGACAAGTACTTCTCCTGAACGAAGTGCTCAGCAGCCAAAAAAAGTAATATTAAATATAAATATGTATTTAAATCTGAGGAACTTTGTTTCTTGTTTTCACGTAAACACAGGCTTCAGAGGGAATATTTCTAGGAAAATGTTAAAACTTTGAAAGGATTTTATTACAAAATATTTTCAGAGTAAAAAAAAAAAAAAGTATTGCACAACACTACAAACTTTCCTAAATTTGAGCCCATCCACAGCACAATGTCAAAACAATCTGAACTACAGCACATTTACTGTAAGGAATGCGGTTATCGTTATTCTTACTTTCACTTCCCAGCTCAGAAAAATGGGTCACCAATGGAAGATGAACGAAAAGCACTACGAAAAGCAACACATTCAAACGACAAATTAGCAATTCCAAACTGTGAACCATGGACCACATCCTTTGGCACACTAAAAACTCATTTTAAAGTGATGCTCTGATAATGATGCTCCTGGCACTAACCCAAGTGCTCATTCCTTCCAAGGTTACATAAACCTTACAGAGCTGTAAATAGAACAGGCACCGTTACTGATGGGAATGCAGAGCAGGAGGGGAAATGGATATTTGTTTTCTCTGCAAAGGCTGTGGAATGCGAGCCCATTTCCTCTGTGCTTCTTCCCTCCCCAGATTTTTCCCAGTCTGAAGCATAGGGATGATACGGAGATGAAGGGATTTCATCCCAGCTTATCTACAGAAGATTCAGCAAAGCTTCTTGATCTCTTAGGGACAATAGAACGCAGAACATAAAAATCTGTTTGTTTTTCCAAGTTCTAACCTAATCCTCTGCAACTTGGGCAGCAGTTATTCAGAGATGATGAGTCCCAGAGGGAACTTCAGAGACCATGCGTCAAGAAATTCAAGACTCCACCTATTTAACGGTAACGCATAAAAGCTACGTTACACACAAATACAAATATTATACACAGGTCTGCACAGAGTCAGAACAGATCAGTCGCCCGTGAGGAGCTGGCAGCACCAACAGCTTCCCACAGAAACACTGCAGAATGCGTTCAGCTACAAACCTGAAGACAAGTAGCTCTGGAAGAACACCTAAATTTATACTTAACTGCTAGGGCACATACAATTTACATCATTGAAATAACATCAGGATGAATAGGATGAAAGGATTAGGGATTAAACTCAAATTGCACGACAAGAATTATGGAAGCGCTGGACAGAAGTAAGAGAGGTGTTCCTCTAACCACGCTTCTGACACTTCAGAGCAGCCGGCCCTGCTGGCAGCCAGCTGACAGCTGCTGCTGTTACACACACCAGGGAAGGGGAGGCAGCTGAGTTGTGCACAAAGTCCTTGGAGGAGTTCCAGTGCCCCGAGTGCACAGCCATCACTTCAGCAACACAGCTGCACCTTCATCCCTGCAGGACTTTCTACGTGTATTTATCTCGTTCAATCTCTGGTAATTCATGCTTTCAACTACCAGCTATGGTGGTAAACAGCAAAAAAAAATAAAAAAAATCCTAAAAGGAAATATAGAAGCAGCTGATTAATGGTCAAAATGCCAAGGTCAGCTATTTTTAAACATGGATGCTATGAAGGAAAAAAGAAACGCACAGACTGAAGTAACTATATTTCATAAACTTGCAGGTACTGGAGCCTGAATCTTTCATCCCAGAAATACACAGAATTGGTTTTATTATTAGCATTATTACTTTAATATCTTACTCCAAATCACTGCATGTATATCTGTATCTGTATATAGTGACCTTTAAGTCATGCATTCCTTCATTTATGAACTTGAATCAAAGCTGAATTGGATAAAATTAGGATAAACAGAAAAATCTACTACCTTCCAACTGACAGAAAGCATTTCCACCATGCAAGAAGTCACAAGCACTGGCAGCATGCTACTTACATTGCAATAGAGGCTCACAATCTCTGAATCTTTAGAATTCTAACATAAAAATATCAGGATGAAAGCTTTAGCAACAACTTGAAAGCAGAGTAAGAAAACAAAGATAGAAAAATGGAGTGGTATTAAAGAAAATTTATAGGTTTTGCTGCAAGACAGAAGATTAAGAGATATGCACACAAATTCTGTCATAGGATTTTTAAGATTCTGTAACCTTTTCTACTCTTTAGGCACAAGACATGGATAAATTTACTGCTAAGGTGTTTGTGCTAAAGCATGCCCACCTGAAATGACATCGGTCTACCAGTCTACTCCAACATATGTTTAAAACAGCACATGTAGATAACAGACACAGAGAGGCTTTGGTACTTAGCAGAAAACATAAATTCTGTTTATGGAGATGAGAGATATTCTGCCTGCAGAACCAAAAGTCCCCACGTGCAACCTGATATCCACCGCATACAAACACACCTCGCACAGGCAACTTGCACGCAACAGATCACATCTTTCTACCCTTCCAGTCTGTATGCAGGAGCTGATGCAGAACACTGGAAGTGGAGCACGGCAGATGCGTTTAAAGAATACTGGTTGTAGAAGCTCTCTTACCTCAGCCTCCTTCTGCTGAAGGATTCTATCCTTGTCTACGACTTCTTCTTCAACAGGCCTGTTGAACAACAGAACGCACTGATGATGTAGGATACAGAAAAAGCCTCCAAGAACAGCTCTGAGATTCACATTTCAGCTACTGTAACAACACAAAAGTCTGCATGCTTTCTCATAGTGGAAATGGGGACATTTTTTAAACACATTTGTATTGATCTTTTAAAATGCCATCTTCTACTTATCCCTAAGCTCCTGTTATCCTCACTCTCTAATTTTCTTCCTCTGTTTCTTAGTTTCTTCATTGCTAATTTGCTAATTTTTTGCTGCAAGATTCCCTCTACCACCTACCCTTGGAACAAAATCACCCATGAAAGCAATGTGGAATTGCTGCTTACGCTATTTCTTCTCTTGTTTAAGATCTGAACGCTTGGATGAATACTCAGAGAACAAGATGGGGAGAAGAATACCTTGCTATCAAGATAGATGCAGTGAGAGTAGTTGTGGACTTAAATTTGCCAAGAACAGAAGCATTACAAGAAAAAAGAAAAAGAAATTGCAAAGAAAGGTTTCTTGGGCTAAACTTCTCTCTGCAGCTATATGTGAAGGAGCAGAAAAAAAATCCCACATGGCAGTTTTAATCTCATCAGATTAATAGGCTGGGATCTACACAGCCTATATAAATGTGCCCACTAGGGTTTGTTTTTCCCAGACAGGTTTTATCTGATCATGTCTACACCCTGCTTCTTTATGTATCTTCCACTTAAAAGCACAGAGAAGAGGGAATGGATATGCAGACAAGAGCAGCTGTCTGTTTGTATGGCACTTCACAAGAGTCATGCTTAATACTACAAAAACGTCTTATGAATTTCACTTACTCCATATATTGAAAGTTGATAAGAAATAATGATGAGGAATTGCTTCAGAGAAGTGTGTCAGGTGCCACAGAAAAAAGGAAGAGACTCACAAGCAGAGCCAGAGACACGCAGACACTTACTTGCCAGTTCTCTTCAGCCTCTCTGAACGGAAGTTCTCATAGTGCAAATCTTGGGTCACCTCCTGCAGGTCCTGCATGTGAGTTCTAGAACATACAAAGCAATACTGTGTGCTTCATGCTTCTTGTCAAAGGGAATATAAAAACTGAAAACAAAAAGTTATTTTATGTAATAGATGCATTCACTAGGAGGACAATTTTTATACACCAAATCAGCCATAAAGCTTGTCAGGACACTGCTTTCATGCTTGCTAGTCTTTTGATTTATAGATTAGCACCCTCCCACCAATATCCTTAAACCACGTACAGCATGCTGTCTCGTTCACACATTACTTTAAAGGAGTTGTTTGTATGAGTCTGCAGTGTTAGAAGCTTGTGAAGACTCGTTCAGAAAGATTTAATTCCTGAAGTATTTTTTGACACTTAAAGGTCATTAACTACAATTTGGAACTGAAAGCTGAGCAGAACTGCTTGGGTAAGGTAACAGCTGGCATCACCCAGCAGCTTTCAACTGCCTGGAGAAAGAAATGCTGCTGGAAATGATGACCAGCAGAGGGCAATCCCTGCTCAGCAGAGACTAAAACCAAAAACGCACTACAGAATTAAACTTACAACAACAGCAAGATAGCACAAGAAATTACTTAGAGCCATCTACACTGACAGAATGCCCATATCAGCTACAGACACCAGGGGTGGGGGGTGTCCTACTTAACACAGACTTTCCTATACTGATAAGAAAACTGAGCTTTGCCTTTCGAACACTTGTCTTCATGGATTCACCAATTACTTTAGCATCGAAAGGCTCTCTGCCTCACCCACTGCAGTGTAAGAAAGCTTCAATTTCTACATAGCAATGTAAAAACAGTTCACATAAGATGTACCTTATCTGATCATTTAAAATACAGAAAATATTTTCTTAGCTCAGACCAGAGGAGCACAGTGGTAAATTAAGCCGAGGGCTAAAAGTGGAGGCAAAAAAAAAAAAGTCAATCTGCACTTCATTAGGGCTACCATGGCATTAAATAATTCATGTTCATGTAATTCTCAAGTCATTCTAGCAGGGTTACATCACCAGGTTGCAGTGATTTTTGCATTACTCACACCAGCATTGTGCGCAGTTTAAGGAAATCATTGTGCTCTGGGTTCTCAACTTCAACAACTCCCCAGGGATACAGACGGCCTCGGATTTTCTTCCCTTTCACCTCAATAAGTTGGTTGGATCCAATAACAGCAAAGGGAATGCTAGCCTGATGAGACAGAGCAAAACAAGTTGTTGCGTTGGCTTTTGGTTGGGTGAGTGGCTTGGCTTCTTTCTGGGGGGGAGAGGGGCTGGGGACTTTTTTTGGTGCACTCAGTTGTTTGCTTTTTTCTTTTAAGGAAAGCACAGAGGTGTGATAAGTAGCAGACAGGAGATGGGGAAAAGAAACGTTGACAGAAGTACTTCAATAAAATCCTTCTACACCAGAAAACCAACAAATTCTGTGCTCAACAGTGCAACCTCTTCTTGCTGAAGCCTGTCGTTTTGTTAGGATTGGTTTGTCCCAGCAGCAGCTCAAAAGGAAATGACACTTTTCTTTAGGAACGTCTGACTGTTGTTGAAACACAAATTGGGCATAATTCGTCATCTGACATAACATCATGCATGGAAAACAGCCAACAGAAACACGCTTCAGATACAGACTAAAGTTGCTGGAGACAGAATTTCACATGTGTTCTTCAAGCATCTGTGGAAGTATCAGAGCACTAGCAGGAAGTGATTTAATTAAAACCTTTATTACCTACACTAACAAGAGGAAAGTTGTTAATTAGTACAGTAACTCTAAGTGCATATTCTCTTTTTGCTTGCATATTAAAAGGCTTGTCAGGCTGACAAGACAACAGACAGCAAACCACTGTTCTTGGTGAGCAGTTACTTACATTCAAAAAAGAAAGTCACAATACTACATTTGGAGCTCTGATGAAGCAAAGAATGGATTAAAAAGGATTATAATTCAGAATCAACATTTTTTCCAAGAACAAAATTTGAATATTCAATGCATATTATAAAGGAATTATTATCTTTAAGCATACAGTAAGCCTGAACGCTGCAGCAAAACAGTAAATTAAGAAAGAGTGAAACTTGCCTTTAAGACTCTAGTTTGTTCTTTAAATTCCTCATCTTCATCAGAATCTGCATCAGGGAGCTGGTAAATCCTAATGCCGTGTTCAGAAATCTCATCTAGAACCTGAGGAGTTTAAGAGACGTAGGAAAATAAACTCTTGTCCCATTGAAGAGTTATCATTATGTGAAAGATGCATGAAAAACGTAACTGGTTGTCACATCTGTAAGTCTCAAAGCACGTTCTTCTGCTCTAAGCAGCCTTTAAAAACCAACCAATTGACAGGAATTACCACTACTTGCTCTTTACATTACGAACTACCAAGTTAGATTAGGTACCATAAGACTACCTTACATCCCACTGATTTCACTCTGCCTATGCAGAAGATGTCAGCATTTTTCATTTTTTCTTCACTCAACAGACAGACTGGAACCTGAAGCGCGCAAGCAATGCAGGCAGAACAGCTCAGGTACACAAGCACTCCTTCAGTCAGGTACGTGTTCAAAGACTTAGGAAACAATTCCGAGGTGGACATTAATCACAACTGCAAAATGAACAAAGGAAGCCCGTGCCACACGTTTGGATTTTATAGATTTCATTCTGCTACAAAAAGCACATCTAGAAACACTGCTGAGATTTGCCAACAGTAGAGGTTCTCTTTAAAAGCAGTTTATTAACAGGCATTGTAATAAGCCAAAGCTTTGGCTGAGATTACTGTAATCCCTATCTGTATACAAAGTCAGAAATTACAAAACACGAACAGCAGCTCATCTGTCCATCTACCCAAAGAGAAACAGACTCACTGACCAAATACTCTTCGTGACAATTCTAATGTATGTTTGTTTGCACATGACCTCATTTGAACAGTATATTTCTGTTCAGTGAGATAAAGATTCTAACCTCTTTTTGAATTTCAGCCCAGCTTTTGTTACCCTTTTTCTCAGTACCCTTTGGGCACAAAGGCTGCACAAGCAGCCGGGCTCAAAGGATTCCCCAGGGCTCCACCTTAGGGTCAGTTCTCATCAGCAGCGTTATAAAGGACCCGAATGCAGAACACAAAAGCATCATAAACAAGTTTGCAAATGATGCAAAATCAGAAGGAGCTGTCGATTGCCTCAAGAGCAGAGAGGCCTTGCAGAATCCTTGACAGACTGGAGGCCTGGGCAGTAATGCACTGCACGAAGCTCAGCGAGTGCCAGATCCCACATGTGGGACAGGGCAGCCCCACAGCAAAGGCTCTGGGAGTTCTGGTGGATGGCAAGTTGAATGCTGTGTGCTCTGGCAGCCAGAGGGGCCAGCTGCACCCAAAGCACATCAGGTACAGCACTGCCAGCTGGGAAGAAGAATACGAAGAAGTAAAACCAACGTATTTGGAGATAGGATGCATTAGTTAAGCATCAAAAACAATGCAATCCATGCAAAAATATTTGTACAAAAAAAATTAAGGCAGTCTACTGTTTCTTAAATCAAGCAGATGAAAGCTGATTTCCCACTTCAACTACAGAAAGTGATTCAAAGTCCATTAAGAAGTAAAAATCCATAAACAGTTCTTTTTATTGTCACTCATGTCTTGGATTAACAAAAAAACCAACAAAGTATTCCTGCATGCATTCCTTCCCTAAGGAACTCACTGCAGGGGTAAGCAGCCAGCTAATGCTGGGCATGTGGCAAGTGGCACTGTTCAGTCCTTTAAAACTGCAGGAAACGCTTCTGTTGTCATACTATTAAGAATATTCGTGTGGGAAAAGCACTGTCAACATCTTGTTTCACAAAAGAAGAAAAGTAGCTTGAAGAGAACGTTAGGAATGAATGCTGATATTCCACAACAACTCTCTTCCAAGTGGTCGAAGACATCTTAGAAGGAAAAAAGATGCACTGCACCAAGTCCTCATATGGGGCTCCCCAAAGGCCTGCAGCTGTAACCCACAGCTGGCACAGGAGCAGCAAGCACAACTGCCACAACCGACCTGCAGCTTCCTTTTTTTCTTCTTTTTTTTTGAGGTCATAAAAAACATTCCTATGAGCACTTGTGCCATCATGTGTCTGTAGGTGTTAAAACAAACATAACTTGATAGCACAATTAAAACTAGACTCCAGCTGCACAGGAGAGGTCTTAACGAATCTTCGTGTTGCGTTCCTTGATCTTCTGTTGTGTAGCAATCAATCACTAGAGCAGAAATGAAAGTTGTCCAACTGGACCTTGACTATTAAGCAGCTGTTGGAAATAAAACAATCCCTCACACCATCAGACAAGAAGTGAACTGCAGCTATTCCCATGACAGCGCTCTCCTGGCAGGTATATACACATCCCCCGCACTCACACGCGCCCAGAACAAAACAGGAGCCCACACCTAAGCAAGGAGTACTATCCTTTACAGGAAAAAAACGGGAACAAGTCTTGCCAATAAGTTGTATTAACTGCATTACAGATAAATCAATAGATTTGTTCTTGCTTTGCAAAATGGAAGATAACTAATTTATCACCAAACGCTAAGAAAACATGTAGAGCAGGGATAGGTGGGGCAGGCTGCAGTGCGATGCCTTTAAGTATCTGCATAAAACAAGAAAACACATTTAACGTGACTGAGATCTTACAGATAAAACACAACTGAAACAATAACGGGAAAGCCAACAACAAGGGGTGCTAGAATAATATATTACAGCTGTTAAACCTACTGCTTTCCTGAAAGGAAAAAGAATCGCAATAAAAACAAACTGTATTTCATGGTCCTAACAATGAAACAGCATTTTGCTTTTTCAAATCTCCATTTTATTGGCCTCAGAGGATTCTGTGTTCTTAAAGATTAGCCTTCCCATGGGAAATCAAAAAAAAAGTCAAAATATTAGTTCCCCTCTCATGAAGTCATTCTTTTGAGCAGGTTTCCTTAGCAGCCCTGCATGGCACAGCTTGTGAAACTGCCTTGCATTTCTTCCCACTCAAGAGGGACAGAAAATAACTTTGAATTCCAGAAAGACCAAACAGGAATTACTCCAAGCTGTGTTTCCTTCACAAGCACCACAACTGGTTCTGCTGCTTTGGACTACACAGCAAAACACAAACAGTTTGCCTTAGATTGATGGCCAAATGGCAGAGATCTAAAAAAAAAAAAAAGACTTCAAGCTGCATCAGCAAAGGATTTTGATTCTTACTCCTGATTAGAGATTCTGTTAGCCAAGGTGCTTTGAGTTAGAACAATATACAGCAGCTGGACTTTCAAAGCTTTGGAACCACATTATACATTTGACTTCGTATGAACTCAGTTTGCTGAGCAACTTTTGCCAGCAGAATAAAAATAACGCAGGCTGTTTTTTACCTTTTTTTCTAACCACTCCCTCAGACTGCACTGTAAGTGCTGGTATGTTGTGCCAGTGAGCACAGGCACAAGTTTTACTCTGTGTAAGCAGAGACTGTTTTAAACACTGATCAGTTAAAGCTAACTTTGCACTAAAATGGGAGGAGGTAGGCATGGATAACACAGAATACGGTCAAGAGAGGTTGCCTTTAAATTAACCTGTTCATCTCAGCAGGTGAATTGGGATTCACCTCCATACTCCACAAGAAACACCTCGTGAGCCTTCAGTCTAACATCAGTCACAGAACTGTGCTAACTCCAAATTCTCATCAGGTAACACATTTGCCTGCATCACGGCCACTTTGCAACTAAAATCTTGTGTTAGCAAGACAAAAAAGCAAACGTCAAACAACACATGCACTACACTGTGCTGGATTCTAAGAGACAATGAGCAGCAAATAAAAGTAGCATAAAAGAAAGACAAGATAATGATAGCATGCATTGAAACCTAATGAGTATGTTCCTCTTCGTTGCACCTAAGAACTATTTTAGTGAAAGATAAGTGCAGTTAGAACCCATTTCGTGTTCAGTTATTTCAGGCATTTGAGCATTCAGCATGCCGAGTGAGTGATGCTGTCAAATATTCCTCTAATGCTCCACTTAAATGCTTGCTTCAGTTCTTTCAGCATCATTCTGCTTCCAAACGCTGAACCAGAAAATAAGTACCTGTGAAAACTGAGCCTGAAACACACTGCTGAAAGATCAGATACAGTTCCATAAGCAACAGCTCCATGAACACTATTAGCATCAGAAGAAAATCTTTCACCAAGTCAGTATAACCACTGAAAAAAGAACCAATACAGGCAGCACAAGCAGTCATATTTCTGCTACGTTATTTCCCTACGGTGCTCTTTCAGTTCACCCACAACACGTCATTTCCCCATAGCAAACATTAGACCTACTCTTCTCTTCAGCCTCTCTCTCTCCTTCAGCGTCAGCGTGTCAGCCTTGGCAATCACAGGGACAATGTTGACTTTTCCATGAAGAGCCTTCATGAATTCTACATCTAATGGTTTCAACCTGCCAACAAATGGGGAAAAAATGAAACAAACTCCAGTGAACTGTGTTTGTTCTAGCTTTATACAAACTAAGTAATGTATTAAAAATGATTTTTTCAAGTATCTACATCAACAGTATGTTCAGGATAAACTAAGTCAGAGCACTTGCTTATCAGCTCTGTCATCTGAAGATTAAATTGCAATTAAAACTGTCACTATGAGATATATACAGTATTGTAAGCTCTTAGGTTTCTAGGTGATAAACCACGTAACACTGACTGCTTCAAAACAATATTCATCACCGAAAGGGAACAAAAGCAGAGGAGAACGTTAGTCTCCAAAGACCATGTAATTGCATTGGCTAACTGACAGTACCTACGTTTTTTTTCCCTAGTTCAAGGAGTGAACACTCACAAACACAATGTAAGACCCTCAAATACAAGAGCTTTTTCTTACCCATGCCCAAAGGGAGAGATGAAGTAAAAACAGCAATGGACTCTATTGTCTATAATGTGGCGCCTGTTCAGCCCGCTCTCATCGTGAAGGTATCTCTCAAACTGGTTGTCAATGTACTGGATGATGGTTTTGAAGCTGTTGTATGGCAGGGAGGAAGGAAGAGAATCATTGCAAATTAGCTTTAAAGTGACAAAAGATGAACAATGCAAAGGTAAGAACAATAGGAGAAAGTCATGCTTTTGTTAAGATCCTTACTGTTAAAAAATTCAGTGTTGCAGCGTCGCACCTATTATTGATAAAAAGTACTTAGATAACACAAAAAGGCATTTTCAGAGCAGCCAAGTGCACAGCTACTTTTGGTGCTACTGTGAGCACCTGGACAGAGTGAGTTCAAGAGCAAGTGCAGAAAAAAGCACCAACTACAGCATAGGCAGCAGAGACAGGAACAGAACCGCCTGCTTTTTTTTTTTCCTGGGGCAGGGGCTAAGGATTGGCTTTTAAACCAGCTGACAAATGATACATCCTGGATATCCTCTTGCAACCCTGACCTGGAGCTAAGCTTCTATAGTTACCTATGGAAATCCTGGTATTCTAGTCCATTGAATTAAATACAAACACATTTGAAAGTCATGCACCAAAGCATCACATGACTTTGGCTATTTTCATTATTTTACAGAATCCTTTTCTGTTGGCAAAGAAAAATAATGCCTACTTTAGTTCAAAGCAAATTAAAATAAGCCCTGCAGAGGTAAAGAAACACAAAATATGGTTACAGAGATTAAGCAGTTACAAAGAACAGTGGCTAAAGAAAAGAAAGCACGATGCATTACTAAGAGGACTGTTTTAAGATACGCCAGAGCATGTAGACACCTGCAAACAACATTAATGTGAAAGGACTTTATATTAAGCACCGAGGAGAAGGGAAATGAACACACTGATGCAGATAAGACTAAGCCAATGTCTGTGCCATGAACATATCTTAAACTACTTGAGACAAAAAAATAGGAGCAGAAAGCTTACCTTGAAAAATAGTATCTCAGTTGTGGGAAATTGAAAATTTGGATGGAGAAATTAAGAAGAAAACAGATGAGAAAGCACAGAAAAAGAATTAATAACAAGGAAGACCAACACAGTATGTTGGTAAATACCGTGGCAGGCAGAGAAGTTCAAACCTGGGGTGAGTTGCACTAATAAAGCTGAAATAAACAAGAATGATGGAAGAGATCCTGAGCGGAATCTGATTTTCCACTGCTGATTTTGCTCTCGAATTTTGGAGGAATGCATTCTATGACACAGTTACACACAATTTCTCCTTGCAAAACTTGCACTGTTTTAATTCATACCACAGAAGACAACACAGCACTACGTGATTTACTGATTTTGACCTTCGTGCTACTTAATATCTTCATATCTAAATGTGCTGAAAAGCACAGTGTGTTTTATGTTCCTGTTGATCTTTAGACCCTTTTAGCTGCTGAAAGGTAACAAGGCTGAAGACATACAAATATTAGGACAGAAACCAAGCACAAACAATGGGAAAGCAACTATCACACGTTTCTCTGGCAATGTAATCAGTTTACGTGCAGTTTTCTAGTTATAACAGCTATAATTTTCCCTATGAATGTGGAGTTGGTGTCCTGTACCTCCTGACTTCCGGGAAACACCTGGATTATACCCCTGTGCTATCATTACTTGGAGATAGCACATCCTGTATTGTAACAGCAATAACATAACCACTGCATTTGAGAAGCCCACTGGGGGAAAACGAACAATATTACCAAGCTGCCAAAACCCACTAAACACAACTTAACCTAATCCAAAATAAAAATAAATACACAAATTAGCAGCAGCCAGAAAGCAGCACCAAGAGCCCCGCGGACCGCAACCAAGACGCAATAAGGCTCATCATCACCAATATCTAACAAGCCCAGCTGTGAAAGCTTTTTGTTGTTTTTTTTGTCAACCAACATTTTGATGGCAGATTTAATCCCAAATCTGTGTCTGAAGCTCCCCCCTTCCTGCCTTAAATAATTTCTCTCCAGTCACCAAGGACATCTGTCAGGATCTCAATGTATGAATGCCCATTCTATGCTTCAATCCTCCCGTCGTTACAAACTTTGCTGCTCTCCAAATTCATGCCTAACGTGGTACCAAAAGAGCTTTTTAGGTTTAGTTTGGTTTGACGCTCGTGCACAGAACTCCAGCTGGCACTAAACTTAAACAAAGCTCCACACAGATTCTCATGAAAAGATACACTGTTATGGTTACCACAGTTAGCATTTATCCACCTTTTCTTACTGTTCAAATATCAAAGAAAACAACCTATTTCATAATTTATTACAGCACAGTCACTAGTGCTGCATTTCCCAATCCAAAACTGCAAGGCCTCCAATCCAGGCCATCCAACCAATACTCTCCTAACTGTTACCAGCATTTTTGCTGTGACAAAGAATACATGAAAACTGATCACAACTCCCAAACTCTGTTAGGAAACCTAGCTAGGAGAAAGCCATTTTGAAGCAGTGTCAGTGATTGCTGCCTCCCAGAAGCTTCATGCCAGTTTGATTTTTTATTTGTCCCTTCAAAAACCAACCTCAGGAAAATCAATCACCCTGAAAAACATGTGGTCTGCCTTCACTGCAGCTTTGGGAAAAAAGTTCTTATGAAATACAAACTGTGATCAGCACCATCTACTGGTTAACCGTAACTGCAGCAAGAGCTCCTGAACACAAACTGAAGTTCCAGAACACAAACTTGCTGCATCCTCTGAAGAAACAAGGAAGGAAGGTGGTCACAGAGTCAGTCCCAACTACAGTTTGAAACGAGTCTGTCCATCCGTGTTCCTGTGACATCCTGTACAGAACAACAGACTGCCAAGATGACACGCATCACAGCCCAGGCTAAGTTGTGACACATGGCATAAGAGTACATGTTTAGAGAGAGAAATCTAGAATTCACTGATCTTTTCACTTTGCATTAGTAAGTACTACTTGTTCCCACAATGCATGTTCGTGTTTAAGAACTGAACAGAAAACAAAGCATAGCACACCAAGTCATTCTACTCAGTCTGAATCATCACGGAACGATTTCTGTTTAGCAAGCCCCTAAAAAGAAAAGGGGAAAAATCTGAAAGCGTACGTCTCTAAGAAACATCTTAACAGAATAAACAAAGGGCACCAGAACACAATCAGCAGGAAGAGCTCAGCGTCACACAATGCACGGCAGAGCCGCTCGGCCAGCGGAAGGAAGCTCTGCTCAGCAGCGCACGGAAGAAGCCCGGCCACGCTGCCGCACAGAGGGGCGCCCTGCTGGCCCTCTGCAAGCCACATCACTTCAATTCAGTAACGCTGGGAAAGTGGGAGATTCAAGCCAGCAGGCAGGGCAGGGCTCACAGCTCACACGTACCAGTCCTGGCTGTTGATGGCGTCTCCGTACCCCGGCGTGTCCACCACCGTCAAACGCAGCTTCACGCCCCGCTCCTCTATCTCTACTGTAGAAGCTTCAATCTGAACCGTTCTCTCTATTTTCTCTAAAACAAAGGAACATTTGCACTGTTGTTATTCTTATACCCCTACCAATGCTGCAGAAACCCCTGAAAGAGAAAGCAATGAAGAAAACACAAAGCTTTTACTATAACCTACACGACGGAACATTTAAAGAAAAAAACAGTCCAAACTCAACACTTTTTTCATAAAAACAAACAAAAAGCCACAGCGAACTCAAAAAATCAGATCTGCTGGTGATAATACGCAAAAAATAAAACAATACTAGGAAGCGTGCCAGCTTCTTTGTCAAAAGGCATTTAAGCTCTGAGCAGGATTTTGGACTTCACAGGAAGAGAAAATGGGGAATCGACTGAAACCACATTTAAGTATTCTAACATCTGAAACGTTTGTCGTTTGCTTTTGCTCTCTGGAGTTGTTGTTTCTTGTTAGTTTTTTAAATAGAAATTGATGACTAAACAACAAAGGTTGAATTTTTTTGAAGGAAATACAAATGAGAAAAATGACAGCTTAAAGACAAGCACTGGGAGAATTAAAATACAGTAAGACTGTTTGAAGAAAGGGTCTCAAGGGTGAAGTTATCATCAGGATGAGAACTGTGAAATTTCCTAGGGATGTAAGTGGACAGAAGACTCCACATTTACCTGCAGCTCCAGGAATATAACGCTCTGGATAAAGATCAGTCAGAAACAGACTGTTAATTAAAGTAGATTTTCCCAAGCCAGACTCACCTACAAACAAAATAATACACGTTATTCAGCATATAGACTTTTTACTCCTAGGCTTTTTTAAGCACCTCCTCTTTCCCCAAGCCCACGTAACAGAGGATCTGTCAGGATCCACTCAAGCTTTTGAGATAAAAACATCAAAGGTTCAGCCAAGCAGTTTTTAAAAGGCAGGAAAAACAAGCCCTTAGTATTTTCATAAACACTGCAAGAAAATGCTAAGCTTACTGTTCTACATTTCATAATAAAAGCTGAGAGGCCATACAGCACTTTAACTACGTAGAACCAGAGGTAGGTAGCCTTATTTCATGGAAACTTATGAAATCCAGAGCTGTAGCCCCCCTGCTGAAAGTTTATTTGAGCTTTTTCCCTGTTGGGACATTGGTTGGACAGAACACGAATAAAGCAATACCACATTAGCTGTCAAGCTCTGCATCCCTGTAGTTAGGCTACATGCTAATGAAAAGAACACAAGAAAATTACTCAAAATTCCATGAGAAGTTCCATCACTCTAGAATTTCAAGTCACACGAATGCTGTCCTACATTGAAGTAGTAAAGTTAAATGTGTAAATGCAATTGCTAAACCAGAACTTCAGTGTTTTGTTTTGTTTTGTTTTCCTAACCCAAGGCATCAGCAGAAGTCAGCATTTAGAAGAACTGGCCATGCTCTCCTTGCACCCGTGTAACACTAAACTCATTCCACGGCAGTAGAGCTCAGCACATCACTTCAGATTGCTTTCTGCCAAAAGTCTTCCCATCCTACAGCTGCTCACTCGCAGAACAAGCAAACTAAAAGTTTATTTATGTCAGACTGGGGCAGCACAGAACAACAGAAAGCAACAGAAAGATCCGCAGTGTGCACTCACATGTTCAGCTGCAGAAACCTGACAATAAGAAAGATTAGGCAACTATCCCTAACATCTGATGATGAGTCAAGACAACAAGGATGTCCTGCTGGCACACAGTCATCATCCCTAATCACTACGGATATGTCCTCCTATGAAACATGACAAAATGGAGATCCAGCTACACTGAACGGTTCAGTGCTTTTCTCTTCTGCCCATAAATTGTTACCTAGGCAGACAGAGATGTCTGTGTGAAAGAATTATTTATATTTTATGGTTAAAATCAGGAAAAAAAACCAAACAAGCGACTCACCAACCACCATCAGTGTGAACTCAAAGCCCTTCTTCACAGATTTCCGGTGGACCTGGTTGGGCAGATTAGCAAATCCCACATAGCCTGCTGAGTCGGAAAACTGATGAGAAAGAAAGGCTGAGTGAAACCACCGCTGCTTCCAGAAGCTGGACAGATTGGAAACACAGAACTCTGGCTGTGCAGCCATCTCCTTACCTTCACTTTTTCACCTGACTGAGACATGTTGAGTTTCTCCAAGTGTCAGACACTGAAAAATAAAATGCAGAGTACACGTTAGTTGATCTCATGATTACTTTCATTTTAATTTTGAACTGATTGATTGCATACAAATACCGACTTTTATTCTAGTAGAATGAAGTGTAGAACAGCATTGTTTTTCATCCTGTTTTTACCCTTTCCACAGATAAATTACAATTTTTTTCCTAAAGCCACCTTACAAATAGCAGCCACTATTTTATCTGTTGTCTAAAAGGTACCTAAAAGTGACGGGTGAGGATTGCGACAGCATAAAGTCCCCAGACCTCAGGACACCTACAGGCTCCCCAAGTGAGGGCTACAACGTGATTTTCAGACATTTTGAAGCACGTTCCCTGAACATTATGGGACACTGCAGAACCACAGTGTTTGGCTCATTCACGCTGAGCATGAAAACTCAACCTGATCTGAGAGACCCCCATAAGTAACTGCAGTTTCTGGCATCTGGAGAAGCTGAGTTTTGGCAAGCCTTTATCTTCTTCCTGAAGGATGTTAGCTGCACTACAGATCAGCTATCACAGCAACGCGAGGCCCTTTCAATCAGGAGGTGAAATGGAAGGAACACTTCACAGCTTGCTTTGCTGACAGCACCGCCCTTGGCCTGGGAAGCAGGAAGTGACCAACGCAGCACCTGTGTGCTCAGACAAACGCCTTCCTGCCGGGCAGCAGCAGCCATCCCAGCAGGATGCAGTGCAGCTCCTGGCAGCGGCTGTTTGACAGCCAAACCCCGGCAGAGAAACACCAAGCTCTGGGCTGAAGGAAAAGCCTAAGCTGGCATTACTGCACTCTGACTTTTAAAGGAAAGGCTTACACACACTTAACTTGCCCTGGAACAGGCACTTCGAATCCCACTGGCTGTGCACACCAGGCACCATGCTGCCAAGGACATTCCTTCTCCTCCAACTGCTTTCCCCACGTTCCCATCCATTTGCTTGCTAACAAAAGCCCAGTACAAGTATTGCTGGGAAAAACAGGAGGCCGTGATTCTAATCTTCTTCTGCCACCAATGCATTCCTCAAAACAGACTCCGAATCACCCTTAAGAATACCCTTGAAAAAAACAAAATGGTTTATTCTCCTCTAAGCATTACGCTTAGGCCCATTCAGGCCTCTGAACAGCCAGCAGGGCACAGCCCTACAGCTGCACTGACACACAGCAGTTGCAGAGCTATTTCCAGCTCGGTACTATCCTACAAGCACAACGTGTGACACCTGCGTGCGCTGCTTCTTACCAACAGAGGATTTCTAAAGAATTCTTGTTGTATTACGAACCTCCAGAATCTTCTGGGAAATCACGATCTTTGCCTGAATAGGAAGTCAGGTCATAAGATCCTGGTTGTGACCAACGCTTGCACTGAATATTAATCAACAAAGCGAAAAGTCAGGTGATCTCTCTAGAGCCAGAAGTGGCTTCCAGAGCTTATTCGAAGATGAGAGAAATCTTATTTTCTTATTCTTTCTACCTTCCTACCCGCAAGTGTTCCCATGCAGCAGGCCAGGACGGCCCAAGATGAACAAGAATTCAACGGTCACACATACCTAACATTCTTAGAGGGAAAAAAAGCATGCTGCTCCTCGGCGCTTCAATGAGGCACTGCGGTTCGAATGAATCACCAGTCAGCAAGCTTCAGCTCCCGCGCAATCCCTGATGAGGAATCCCTCATGAGGTTTTCCAGAAAATGGCTCAAACAAGTGAGTTCCCTGGAGGGCCTCTCTGACGCTGCGCAGAGCCATCACAGATCGAAGCCTTAGGGTCAGCCACAATACGACAGTTCTGCACGTGTCAACATCCTGCAGCAGCAGCCACCTGAACCACCTGCAGCATTCACAGCTGCTCTCACACACAAACTTGCTGTCAGACCAGGCTGGCCGGGCAGCAATGAGGGCTGAAGGCCTGAAACCCACATGCACTGTGCTGAGCCAAGCAGCAACTGACCTCAGGTGTCTGACGGCACTCTGGAGAGCTTTACGTTCAGGAAATCATAATGCTTGATATTTCACCAGTTCTCCATAATATATACATACTATAACTGTCAGAAAGCAGAAGTCACAGCCACTCCGTTCTCTTTTGATACTCAAAGGACCATCCCAAGCATTGTAAGAACGTAGCATGTACAAAATATTTCAAAATGGAAGGCAAAGAGTACAACTGCATTAACAAGTGCATTAGCAGCATCATTTTGTTTGCCAAGGCTGCAGCCCCATTTTAGCAGGGCTAGCAGAAAGAAGGACAGCTAAGGTAGAGAACATCCAACAGATTCAACTTTTAAACAGTGGACGCTGCAGCAGCATTCATTTGGGAGCTCTGCGAATTCCCCTCCTGCCCAACATGCTGCTCAGCAGCCGCAGGGTTGGGGCACGGCCTCTGTGGGCATGGCAGCCTGCTGCCCTGTGCGAGGAAATGGGGCTTCAGTGAGGCAGAGAAAAGGAAGGAAAGTGGGTCATTTCCTCCATTCCTGTCAGGATGCAAGCAGTCAGCTCTCAGGAACAGGCAGTCTGGGACTTTCTTAATCTTAAGCAGTACAGAGAAAACGCTACAAAAAGTACACAAACTGCTATTACCACATTCTAAAACAAGCGCTCTGCAGTGATCCCAGCCATCTCTGCAGCAGAACAGCCCTCCCGATTCACCCCATGAGTCGCCTATCTTCCCATCTGTAACTGTCCATGTAACTTTGATTCTCTTGTAAAAGCACACGTTATACTGGAGCACAGCGGCACAGGAAGCAGTAACAATGCAAGTGGGTGTCCAAGTGCCGAAAATGGCTTGGACACCACCAGCATTCTGATGGCTGATTTTCAGACATAACGCAGACGGAACAAGAACAGCTCCATCAAGTATCACCTGCTGGATCCTCACTCATTGCAAGAGCCCACAGAAGAATGCAAAAAATGAAAAAACTAAAACACAAAATCTCACTGTAACCTAAACTGAAGACAGGAATATTCAAATACTGAACACTTTTTAACTTTTTTTGTAGCATGCTGTCAGTGCTGCTTGAAACACACAATTCAGTCCAACGATGGGGGCCCTGCAGGGCCTGCTCACCATCGTGCTGTGTCTGCATCCTCAGCTCTGTGGCTGAAACCCCCTCCCAGCAGCTCCTGGTGAGCAGCACACACTCCCTCTACTCCCTCCGTTCCAATAAGTTCTATTTTCCTCATTACAGTGTTACCAGATGAATCAATCCCCTTTTACACAATAACAACATAACTACTTTCTGTACTGCGCTTCTATCAACCACAATTCTGAATCTAACAGCAAAAGGGACAAAGAATACCCAACAGACCAGCCAGTGACAGACAAGCAGATAGATGGGCTGTAGGTGGACACCACTGCTTTGTCTCTGAATTCGTATTTGGTGCACAGAAGTTTCACATACTTTTATTTTTGATATTATGTTCTTCCAACAACACACAGTACAGACTTGCCTTTGCTACTGGGAAGGCAACACTATTCACCAAGGCCAATAACACTTCTAGGTCCTTAAAAGCTCTCCTGATCATAAAACGAGCAGTACAGCAACATTCACATTGAAAATGCAGCGCGTTACGCTTCTGTGACTTAGTATGCATACACACAGCAGAGGAGTGCAAGGAGTAAGCAAGTAAGAGGGAAGAATGGTGTATGAGTGCTGTCCTTAAAAAGAATTTGGATTGAGAAACTGCATGCAGCGACAGTTCTGATCCGAGATGCTTTGTGCAGGGATTGGTTCGATGACAACTCTCTGCTCCGAACACCTCGCTTTCTGACTGCTGTTCAGTGAATGCCGTCACCCAGGAAGCACAGAGGAGGCGGCAGTGCTGCTCACACTAAGGGCTTGTTGCAGCAGTCACGCGTTTCCTACACAAGCAACTATTGGCAGCCCTTCCCACAGTTACTGCATCAAAGAACAATACCGTAAATCGGTCCTACACACACACGAGAGGCTTCCTAAACAGCCAGCTCAGTGAACGACCGCGACACCGACGTGGAAACAGGCAGCCCTGCCTCACACCAAGCTCCACACCTACGAGAAGCAAAGCCGTGGGAATACATGAGAAACGAACCCTCCGCCTTTCGGTTAACACACAAGGAAGGGCCGCGCCGCTGTCCCGGGCCGTTCCACACTGCGGAGCCACGGGCGGTTCGGGCTCCCAGCTGCGCCGCCCGCGGCGGCGATTACAAAGCCCGAGCGACGCCCGAGAAACGCGGGCCGCCCGCCCGGCCTCCTTCACGGCACAGCGCCGCGGGCGGCCGGCGGCGCACAGAGCGGCACGGACGCGGAGAGCGGCGGCCGGAGGGTGAAGCCGGCCCGGGCCGAGCGGCAGACCGGGGCAGGCCCAGGCGCGCTGCCGGCGGGGCCAGAGTTCCGAGCGGTTCGGGGGCGGGCGCGGCCCCGAAGGCGGCCTTAGGGCCCGGCCCCGGGCGGCCGCCCACCGGGGCGGAGGAGCTCGCCCGGCCGCGGCCCGGCTGCCGGCTTACCTCAGCCCGCGGGCGCCGAAGCCGCGCTGACGGGCCTCGCTCCGCCGCCTCCACCCGCGCGGGCCTCCCGCATCCCACACGCCACCGCGGCCGGGCGCCTCCCCGCCTTCCGCGTGGCTCTATGGTTGCGGGGCGGGCACAGCGCCCCCCTCGCCTGCAGGGCGGCCCGGCCGGAGGCGCGAGGTCAGGCGGGCCGCGGCTCCGGGCTGCCCGGGGCCGCAGACCTTGCGGTGCCCGCAGTCCCTCCCGGGCGGTCCGGCCGTTCTCCTGCGCCCAGCGCTGTCCCGGACTCCCCTCGCCCCGCCGGGCCGCGGCCGTCGGCCGTCCGTCGGTTGCGTCTCCTGGGGCCCGTGCTCACAACGGCCCCTAGCTCCGAAGCGGCCGTCGGAAGGAATTGCTTTCCGAGGCCGGCCGACCCCCAGCCCGGCTCCGCGCCTCGCCGCTCTCAGGCCTTTTCCCCAGGGCGACCCCGTGCCGTGGTTGCCGGCTGACGGTTCGCACAACCGGCTCGGAGCCCCGGGCAGCCTCCTGCACAGTGCCGAGTTGTCCTTTCCAAGCTCTAAGCAACTCACGGCAAACACCTCCTGATTTACAAATGCTTCTCTATGTGCAAAGCAAGTTTCTTATCAAAATGCTGCACGAGACATGTGCTGTTTTACCCACACCGAAGGCTGTCAGTAGTAAAACAGCCACTCTGTGCTCTCTGAGTTCCTTCGATGAAGTGACGGACGCCTCAGCTTGCTGTCACGGCAGCAGTGCAGGCTCTCGGAGCCATCGAGGGCTCCCATGCGTGTGAACCCAGGGTGCAAATGACGCCTGCAGTCAGGTTACAGAAGCGGATTGCTTCCTGATGGTGGAGCGGTGTTACGTGTCTCAAGCTTCAGCACGACACTGGTGAATTAAAACAGTAACAACAAAAGTGCAGGGAAGGGTCATTCAAAGGGAGGACCGGATTCAAACAAGTGCCCAGCAATCCATCCAAACATTTTATGGAGGGCAGACTTTGGATGTGTGAGCGACCAGATGCAAGGCAAACCTTTGGCCTGCACATTTCAATTATTAAGAAGCATGTTTCTGTTTGGACTGCAGTTGTATCCATTAAGCAAATGAGGTCACAGTTCTCAATAGGAAAATGTGGAAGTGAAAGAAATGCTACTGAAGGCAGACTGGCATTATTTGCTAATTCACATTGTGCTCATAGCATCAGCTGAGCATCGATGGGATCTGAGTAAGAGCAAGACAAAAGCCAAAGAAAGAGCAACTGGGTTCCATTTCCCAGGACAACACGTACTGTTATAATGCAATGTTCCATTCATCACTTGAGGGAATTTAAAATGGCATTTCAGTCTTTTCCAGTAAGCAAAGTCTTCTTTAGGGTTACTCCACAGATATCTGTGTAGGTGTTTTGCACCATCACCAACGGAAAATCAGCTGCCATTTTCTTTCACTAAATTTGAGCTCTGATGCAGAAAGTATTTCATACATTTAAATTGGCATTACAAATAAATGGTTAGCACCTGAATAAATGAAGAGATTGGCACGGGCAGTGCCGGACAGCAGACCAACAGAGCCACAGAGTCCAGAAGTTGGAGCTTTCCCATCATTCCTGTTAGTCCTTTCATTTAGCCATCCACCTTCAGTGCGAGGGATGAAAAATTCTCAAGCCTGTAAAATGCTTCTGAACTGAGGCACACGAATCATTTCTCCGTGTCGTGGGTGAAGCAGACGCTGACCGACTCACGCACAAAGGGCTCGGGGAAGTCGCGGTCCTCCCAGAACTGCCCTGCCGTGCCAGAGCGCACCATGAGCGACACTTCGGAGCGAGCAAAGATCAGCGGCAGCCGTGCCCCGGGGCAGATGCTTGGGAAAAGATAACAGTAGCACTGCGCTGTGTATCCTCCCGGCTTCCGGCAATCGGCGACTTCCTGAACCAGAACTTTTATCTTGAGAGTTTTCTCTTCCATGAATGCTTTTTGTTTCTTTTTGAACCCATCTCAACTTCTGGCATGAAGAGCATCCTGTGACAGTGAGTTCTGCAGTGCAATTGCTCCCTTTATGAGAAGGTACTTTTGTTACTTTTGAAAGACGTTGTGACTCTTGTTATGAAACTGCAGAAACACTGAGCGGCAGAACTATTTGGTGCATGTAACCCACAGAATGCATGGCCACAAAACACGTTTTGCATCCTTATTTCTCTCGCTGGTATTAGAAGAGATAGAAGATACAATCGTACTGAAGACTGCTATTCCTCCCAAATGACTAAATAGAAATGCTAATGCAGTCAGTGGCAGTCTGAAGGTGAGCCAATCTCTTACTCCGATAGTTTCTGACTGAATTTTGTTTTAGTTCTTGGAAGTTCAAGTGTCTTTCATAAAATTTCCTGCTACATTTAAGTTTACATTACCGAAAGCATAGAGTCCTTCCTTGAATTCAGATCTTGATTTTGTGTGGAGCGTTGTTAAAAAACCTCACACATTTGGGAAAAAAAAAAGGAAAAAAAACGAAGAAAGGAATAATCCCAAAACTTTATGGCATTTCTGTTAATTAACAGAGAAAATGGTTTGACACTGATTACAATAAAACAAATATGACCACATAACTGAAGACCTGAAGACTAGATTGAGTTTTGATACATAAAGCAACCCCATGATCCTGGGTATAATTTCCATTAAACAAAACAGGCTGGACTGCTTGGATGAAATGAAACGGTTTCTTTCCAGTTACAAGATCTCTGTTAGCTTTGTTTTCTGTCGGTTCTGTCTGTTCCTCACATAGTTGAACATTTGGGATTTAAGCCTAAAGCAATGCGTGATCCTTTTCATTTCCATCAGATTTAGGCCTGTGTTTAAGACCCAGACTAACTGTGCGTTGCAAAGTCACAGGTTGGAGCTGCAGGACCAACCCTTTCAGGAATAAATACCAACACCCCGCGTCGCACGCTGTGCGTGATGTCCTCTTCCAAGGGGCCAGCAGGAAAAAAGTACTTTGAACACAGCTGCATGCTAGCATTAATCTCCTATGGTCAGAGGAGGTGCCCCAAGCCTCTCTCATGTTCTCTGGAACTCAGGTTTCCTGGGACACTTGTGAAATGTAGTATGTTTCCCATCACTGAACCTGAAGAGTTTTCACTCATCTCCAAGGTCACGTTGTTATTAATTACTTTCGACATCTGCACTGTAATTTAAGACAATGACATTTGTCCTTGCTGACGCTGTTCTTAACCAAATGACATCTGATGTGATTTCCCAACAATTACACGGGGAACAGATTGATTTACCAGGGTCCTGGTTCACCACAATCCGTGGAAGGAGGCTAACTTTGGGAGAGGACAAAATTAAACTACAGTTCTCCGGATAGGAAACATGGCATAGAATGGATTCTTGACTGTGAAACAATGTATATTTCCTATAGTTCTTTTCCCCCTGCCTGCCCCAGCTTTCATCGATTCCCAAGAGCCATGCACAGCGTAAATGAGAAGTACTGGAGCTGACAAGGCTCAGGCGTATACGTACTGCAGTTCTCTTGATGTTTAGATACTGATCTGCCAGATTGAGAAAGTGGTCTGCATCATTCATTGCTTTAACCACCCTGGAGCCCCAGAGCCGTGGCTGTGCAGAGGCACCACAGCATTCTCGGGAAAGTCAAACTCAGAACACAAGGCACCCAGCAGCTCTGCAGGGCAAGGCAGGAAGTGGGAGCTGCTTTACTAACACATGGAGACCAGTGCAGACCAAGGGGAACTTCGAGATACCGATCCGGAGGTTTGTGTGGAGGGAAATTCAAGCAGGAACTCCACTCTAATGACGGTTTTGCACAATTAATTTCCTCATTATGCCAAGGAAGGGCTCATGACACTGCTTGACTCCTGATGCAGTGTGTGGGCCAGACAGAATTCCCTGCTCCTGACTCCCTGACAGTGCCAGTGGGCAATCCATAAGGGAACGCCCAGGCAGGGCATGCTTGTAAAGTTCAAGGACTAGTATGGGACCAGGGTGACTTTGTTTAGGAAACAAAATACAGCAGCAAGAATATGAAGGTTGGAAGCAGATCTGTAACCTCTTTTATCCATCTTTGCAAGCACATATATTTGTTTCCTTCCCTTCTTCCATATGAATCGTCTCACATTAGCACTGAGGGTGAAGAGTAGCATGGGCATCCATTTCTCCATCCCAAAGGGCAGCAGCAGCACTTGTACTAAAAAAAGTTGTGGAATGCTACTTTGTTAGTGTCAGTCATACTGCATTTATGGTCCCTATTGCAAAACGCTGCAAAACGCTGGTGCTGTGCTTAGATCACTGTTCCTCTTTGCTCAAAATATCAACTAACAAAGGGAGTGGCAATTCCATCTTCTTTCCAAAATAAAGGAAGCGGAGATAAACCTGATGGGGAAATTGTGCACTTCCATTCTGTAATCAGCCCATCATCTGACAAGGATTCATTCTTACTTACCAACTTTCTGATGTGTCACTCCGGCCTGAAGACGTGCTGACGCTGGTGCTGCGCAGTGCCTTCGTGGAGGCCCACTTCTCTGCAAAATACAGAACACGAACACAAGCTCCAACTGAACCTCTTCTCCTGGGAGAAACAGTCTCATTTCAAAGGATAATTCAGAAAGGAGCAATCTTGACTAATAAAGAACAACTTAATTAACTTAATTATCTGTGACAGGACTCCTGATTCTTCATTTTTGCCTCTGTCTGATCCAAAAGCTGTGGTAAGCCATCTTGAGACCAGTGAGCTTTGAATTCATCTTTTGACTCATTGCCTGCCATATTCACACAAACAATACTACATTCAGGCATCAGCTTGACACCAGATGAAATTTTCTTGTCTTCCTGATGCTTAACGTTTTATGAATGAGAAGGAGCAGCAGCAGTCTACATGTCAGGTCCCAAAAGGCAAATCTGCCTGAACACTGCCAGCAGAATGCTTTGGAGCTGAGCAAAGCCCTGGCCAGACAGGAGGGCCGGGCACAGCAGTTCTTCTGTGCCGTGGGCCACAGTTCTTACCTCAGGACAAGCAGTGCTGGAGCCTGCACCCCCCTTAACAGCCCTCCCAGTTACTCTGTGCCTGGTGTTTGTCCTGATCATGTCAGGAAAAGCATGAACACACAATTGCTTCTAATCCCAAAGCCCCTCTTGCTATAGTATAGTTTCTGTGCAATTGTTCTCGGTTTGAATACCACTTCCGCCCATTTTCACAGGCTGCAAAGCCCCCTCTGCATCCCCCCAGCATGATTTAAGAAATACATATTTGAAACAGCAATGGATGTAATAACATAAATGGTAATCTGTTAACGACTTACTTTGCTTCAAGAACATCGTGTCTTTGAATGGAAGTGAATACAGAGTTTATTAACATAGATTTCAGTTACAAGTAATTATTTATTTACTTAATATCCCAAGCAAAACATCGTGCTGATTTGTGTTCACTTTTAAGAAATCAGAAACTTTTCACTTTGGGAGCTTCAATTCATTCCCAATGCTGTGACATTAACACCATCAGAAGCCACAGGGTGCTGATGCTGAGCCCCCCACAGCTGTGCCCACAAAGTCACCTGCAGGTGTAACCAGAACAGCGAGCGCCGGCAGCCTGTGCAATGAGTTCTCGTTTTCAGCACCGAGGAATAACTAAAAATGGTGTGACCAGGATAGAAGGCAGTACCTGGGTAAGAAAAGGGAACAAACACAAGAAGCAGAAGTGCCAAGAATGGAAATTCCTTTAAGCAGAAATGTTGGTTTACTCTGTGATTGCTAAGCATGTGTTGCCCCAGAGTAATAAATGTCTTGGATTAAGTGACTTGGAGGAATCGGTTGCTCGGTAACAGGTAGCACGGAAGGTGGGCTGAGGGCTGCAGGGCTGAAACAAGCCGTGCAATGCTTCCCAGCACGCAGCCCCAGCAGCTGCACGGCCCCACAAGTGCCTCCCTCCTGGGCAGCACACGTAGGCCATGTATCAGAGGAAACCACAGTTCTGTGCTCTTGGGCAAGTGGCAAGGGTGGGGCTTCCCTGTGCTTACAGGCTAAGATAACTGGCTTTTCTTCCCCCCTTTTTAATTGTTCTTCTGAGGTTTCTATACAACCATTATTATCATTGTAAATACAGACGTTACTCCGTTTCAGCTTGCATTTCGGGTTTCCTCCTGTTCACCTCAGATATCCCTGTCTCTCTGGTCGGTTCTTTTGCACAGTCCCCTGTCCCTGACAGCAGGGCCCTTGCTGACTTACAGCAAGCAGCCTCAGCCTGACGGACGCACAGCCCCGGTCACACATTCCTGCTGGACTTGCACACTGGAACGCACAGTCTTACATAATTGAAGTAAGCCGTATGTATTTCACATGCAGCTGGAAGAGGGGAAAACTCCTCTGCGCTCCATTTACCAGGCAGCCTCTGTTAGGGAGACATTTTCCATGCTAGAAATGTTTACGGCTCCTTACTCAGTCAATCGATGACAGGCTGCTGCTGTCACGTATTGCCATGTCCACATCGTGACGCTCCACGAAGCTGACAATGTTTTGATTCATTCTTTTGGGTGTCTTGTGGCTAAATTTCACCTTCCTGTTGAGATAACAGTGAGTCGAAAGGCAACATCCCACAGGCTGTGCCCTTACCGCCACCCTCCTGTTGCCAGCACGTGGGCACTCTGCAGAAGGATGCAGGCAGGGCATTGCTCAGCACCAACTCATTGCTCATGTCCTCAGTTGTTGATGCACGCGATCCCTTCAGCTTCTGCCCTACCATTTCTTGTTCCTCTGCTTCACACATGGTCTTCTCCATTCAGACTTGTTTGTTGTCATCACAACTGTCTGCATGTCATAATACATGCCATAAATTACTGCACAACAGAGAAAACCAATTACGGAGGGGCAGGAATACCTTGTTTTCATCTCCGTGACCTCCTGTGTCCTGGCAAGATGCTTTGGGCTGAATGAAACCAAACCTACCCAGATCAGTTCTAAACGCCCAGCGAACATAACTTCCAATTTTGTTTACAACATTTTAACTTCTCTAAGAGAAACAAAAGCAGTCCATGCTTACACCAAACCTAGCCCCCCTCGGGGTGCCTAGCGGAACGCTGCCAAACTGCAGCTCCCTGTGAGCGCAGCGAGGCAGCAGCTGAGATCTTTTTCTCCTGCAGCCGTAACAGCAGCACTTAACCAGAGCCGTTTGCCAGCCCGCGTCCGCCAATGGCCGGGCAGAGCCCCCCTCCGCGGGAAGGGCCGGGCCGCGAGCGGGGCGGGCGGTGGGAGGGCTCCCGCCGCTGCTCAAATAGCGCTGCCCGGGGCCGCCGGCGCTCGGAGCGGCTCGGCGGTGGCGCCCGGGGTCGGAGGTGCGGAGCCGCCGTCCTTTCCCCGCGGGCTTCCGAAGAGCAGCGGCAGCGGCGGCATGACTTCGGCGGCGGTGGAGATTTTGGGGCTGGGACTGGGCATCCTGGGCTGGGTGGGGGTGATCCTGGCCTGCGGGCTGCCCATGTGGCAGGTGTCAGCCTTCATCGACGTGAACATCGTGGTGGCGCAGACCATCTGGGAAGGGCTGTGGATGAACTGCGTGGTGCAGAGCACGGGGCAGATGCAGTGCAAGGTGTACGATTCCATCCTGGCGCTGCGGCCCGAGGTGCAGGCGGGCCGGGCGCTCACGGTCATCGTGGCGCTGCTGGGGCTGGTGGCGCTCATGGTGACCGTGGTGGGCGCGCAGTGCACCAACTGCATCCGGCCCGGCAAGATGAAGTCCCGCATCGTGATCGCCGGAGGGACCATCTACATCCTCTGCGGGGTCCTGGTCCTCGTCCCGCTCTGCTGGTTCGCCAACATCGTCATCAGCGACTTCTACGACCCCTCCGTGCCGCCGTCCCAGAAGCGGGAGATGGGGGCCGCGCTGTACATCGGCTGGGCGGCCACGGCCCTGCTGCTGTTCGGGGGCTGCCTCATCTGCTGCTGCTCCTGCTCGCACCGCGACGAGACCTCCTTCCCCGTCAAGTACTCGGCGCCGCGGCGGCCCACTTCCAACGGCGAGTACGACAAGAAGAACTACGTCTGAGCGGGGCCGCCCGCTCCGCCCGGCCGTGCGGGCACGCGGACAGACGGCGCCGGCCGGGAGCGACTGCGGTGAGCTCGGCCGACGGGCGCCGCGGTGCTGCCCATCCCGGAGCCCGCCCGGCCGCGGCACCACGGCGGCGGCAGCCCAGCCAGAGCGGCGTCCTGCCGGCCCGGCTCCCCGTCGGAGCGCCGCGTCTGGTTCTGCTCCCGGCCCGGCCGGCGCTGCCCGGCCCGGCGGCACAGCCGCGCTGCTGGAGCGGAGCCGGGAGTGGTGCGGAGCCGCCGGTGCCTCTCCGCGCGCTGCCGGGCCGTCGCGCGTGTCCCGTCAGGGAGGAGAAGCTTCCCTTCTTCGTTCTATCTCCTGAAAACCTGCAGCTGACTGACTTCTGCCGTGGCTTTAACTGGTTAAGGTTTTCCTTTCGTTCTTTGTGGGCAACTAAACTCGGGTTCCTATCTGAAAGACGACTCTAACCTTGGTCCTTAATCGTGCAGGCAAATAATCGGCTGGAGAAAGGCACGTCATTTTGTTCCATTGTTTTGGGCCCTCAAAGAAGCGGGCTGTGCTGCACCTTTGAGACTTTTGAAAGTGATTTCAGATAGCTGCCATTATTGCAGGTTCTCCATCACTTCTTCATCAGCTTCTGTTCTTCTTGTACTTGAATACGAACTCACTGCACGTCGCCAGTTACTGCAGGACCAAATGCAGAGACCTGGGAGATCTTTGTGCCCCGGCTCCAGCAGGGCGCCCCTCCTCTCATCTGTACCACAGGGGATTGGAAACAAAACCCTTCCCTCCCTCCTGATGCTTAGGTTGTGAGGCTTCGTGGCCTTCTTGCTGAGCACTGCTCGCTGCCAATCCTGAATCACGTGTGCTCAGCTGGACATACACATGATTGGCTCCCCACTGCAACTTTGGTAACATGCACTTGCCTTAATTTAATTGATCGGGCAAATAGATTAAATGCTAGAGGACTTTCTCCAAGTATCTTGACTGAGACCGTGCAGTGCTGGGGAGGTGGGAGGTTATGGCTCCTATGGCCCTCACAGCTCCTCCTGGTAGCGCTGCAGACTGGGAGGAAGATGCTCTGGGCAATGTAACTCACTTTCTGAGCTGTTAAACCTCACCACAGCCTGGGATATTAACACGTACCTTTCCCTCTAGAAACACACACACAAAAACAACCAAAACCAACAAAAGTGTCAGAGGGGTGATGCGATGCTCTCACACAAATTGTCAGAAGGCAAAACACCTTCCTCGTAGCATCAGATCAAGACAGAACGCCGCTGCAGGCTGTGCAGCACCGTACTGCCACGAGGAGCTCTGCCAACAGCGGGAGAGGAATTGTGCTGTGAGTCCTCAGAGCGCAGCGCTGAGCCCTGGCTCCCCGCAGCACCACAGCTCCGCACGGATGCTTACAGTTCCATGATGCTCAGAACTGCAGGCTGACCCTTCCTGGGGGCTGTGACAGATTTACATTGACTGTCCTTGCTCTGCTTAGCAAACTTAAAACCCCAGCAGTATCAGTCCATACATGGATCTGAAAGAGAGACTAAAACCCCCCAGACATTGATGTTGAATGCTGAGCACAAAATTTACCCTTACAAAGATAACTGCTTTTGTTTTTACACACTGCGGGGTCTGAACCACTCAGACAGCAGAAAGCAGTGCGACATGTCTGGGATCAGCTTTGCTCTACAGAGGTGCAGTTCTTACACAGTTTTCAACTAAACAAAACCTAAGATGTTGTTGTTACGATGGGATATGTAGTTTTGGTACAAGAATGAAATATTCCATATTTCATCAGTGCAACTTTTAAAATCAGTATAACTTTTGTAAACTGTCAATGTATTTAAGTGCATATATTCTGCAAGAAACCTACCAAAGTTGGCTGTAACAGTTTGGTGCCTTTATTTGTTTCAGTTATTTTATTGTATTTTAAGTGCTACTGCCCTACTGTTCCTGTGACCCAGCCCCTACCCACAGCCACGTTACACCACCCTCAGCTCTGTGCTGTCGGCTAAGAAGAGTCAATGGATATTAGCTCAAATCCTGCAGACTTCACTTAAAATGATCTGCTAAAATAATGGGATTTGTCTCAGATAGAATCACAAATAAGCCACACCCTGGCCTGCATGGGGCTTTACTTGCAAGCCTTCAGAAGTGCTGCTGGATTCGGGCACGTAGTGACAGCACTGCTACCTACCAGCCAGGCAGAACGGCGTGCTGGGGGCGGGGGGACAAAAGCAAGCACCTTCACTTGGAGTCTTTTTTAGCAAGCCAAAATTCCCGATAGCTTCATGACACGGCAGGGCTGGGCCCACTGATAACCACATCTGAACCAACTCCACAGTCCGACCTCATGGGAGAAGCCAGTGCTAACCCTATGTTCTAGGAAACAAGCCCTTTGTCTTGCCCAGAACGTAACTCGCTGCTGATGTGTCAAAATTCACAGAGGTCACAGGGTAGTGTCCAACAACATCTATTCAAAAGAATACCTGTATTTTATCTCACCCTTCAGTATGCTTATGTATTGCATCACTTCACGAGAAAAAAATGAACCACCACCTCAGTGAATGTTGCTACTGACACGACTGCTTCAGGGCGCAAATTGGTTCCTTTTGCACTGTTTGTTCTCTGACAGCAAAGATCTGGTCCTGAAGCTTAGGAAGTGAAAGCACTCAGGAGCAGGCCTGAACCTCATCCCAGTGGAAATAAATACCTACAGCACTCGTTTTTATTTTGTATTTATAATTTCACATAAAAATAAAAACATCTAAACCAACCCCCCAGAGGAGTCGCTGGTCATGAAAGGCAGGGGTGGTGGGGGCTCAGTAACGGGAGGCGTCCAGAGCTCCTTCCCCTGGGCTGCGGGGGCAGAGGTGGCTCAGCCCCGGGGCGCTGGGAGCTGCCTTGTGCTGCAGCGGCACCTCAGCCCCCCCGCCGGAGCTCAGACACAGGAGCAAGTGGCAGCGCCCGCCCCGTGCTGGGAGCACATGAGGGAGTGGACCGAGTCCCAGGGACTTGGAGAGCAGCTCTAAGCACGAAGCCCTTTAAGCTTTCAATTCCTACGGGTTAAAAATAGAAGGGGGAAAAAAAGCCCACGCTGCTTGGATGGGGCCCAGCCTGACCTGATACCCTAAATCCTTTCCACCAACCATTTTTGTCAAGAAGTGCATTCAAGCTGGGGAAAAAGCATTTTCACAGTTGCATCAGAACAGAACCTGTGAAAAAACGTCCGTTAAAGGAAACTGCAGAGGCTAATTACTAGTGGGGGAATTTGCTGAAGTTACGTGACTGCCAGGGAGGTCTTTCAATATTTTACAGATACTTTTGGCAAGATTTTTATGCTCTCTTGAACCAACTGTTGCTTTCAGAATGAAGAAAAAGTATCTTCAAAGACTTTGTTCAGCAGCATTCTGGCCAGCTTGGTTGAGATTAACAAAAGCTCCTCACCACCCTCCTCCTGCTATGCACACGCTGGGCTGGAAGAAGGGTGGCTGCTGGCCTGGCCTTTGTCCTGCTAAATGGAACGTTCCACAGTTATGAATTTGAAAGTAGCCTCACTTCAGAGCCTGCAAATCTGGTTAGATCCTGTCTGTGCAAACAGGGGAAATGCACCAGGCACAGGGAAAAGGAAGCTCCATCAGTCAAGTTTGCTGCAGGATGTTTAAGGAAACGTTTCCTTTTCCTGCACAGAGATGTTTGTTGGGCATCTGCTCTTTGGAACAGGAATGAAACATTTTACTCTTGAGTGAGAAACCACCATAACTCCAGATTTGCATTTGTAAATCTATTCCTCAGTCAAATACTGTATGAGGTATTTACTCTTATTCCTTGCCCATCTTCCAAACCACAAATGCAAATAAATCTCTTAAGCCAACTTTCTTCAAACTGGGACCAATCCATACATCTGCAATGCTAGATAAGATTCCTGCCTAACAGAAGCCATACACTGCAACTGTCACATCTTTGCACACATTCAGCAATACACTGGTGCAATATTCATCATCACAACATACCCACACAGCGCATCCTTTTTATTATTGCTTTGTGTACTAAAAAAGAAAATAAGCAAGCACATGCTTGAGGATTTGATTTTGCAAGTCCACCTGGTAACATACAGCAAATATTTCTGCTGCATTAGATCAGTCAGAAGACAGCAGCTGAATCCTCTCTTCAAGTCAAACATTGTATTTGTTTTACCTGTACACTACGTGTGGAAGAAAAACTGTTCTGTAAGGAGAGCCTTAAGCAGGTCTCATAGCTCTATTTTGGAAGTAACAACGTTCTATTGTTCTTATCGTGATCAGACCTTTGTGTGTATTTGTGTGTGACTGCTCCAGTCTGCTTCTTGTTGATTCTTTGCAGGAAGGAGCAGTCTGCCTAGAAATCCCCTTCTTCCTACCGCAGACTTCAGTTTCGAGAAAAGGACAGTTTCAACCACTGTGTCATTGATAAAACCTCCCATGGCAACAGCAAAGGCTTTGCAGTTGCTTGGTTACACAAGCCTTGCTTCACCTTTTCTTTTTCTTAAACGCAAATTGAGACATTCTGCCATGAATCACTTTAACAGTGTCTTTTGTCTGTGGCATTTTCGAATTTTGTTTACAACTTCAGGCTTCCCCCTCCTTCCAGAGCAAACCGTGTAGCTTCCACTCAAACCGTGGCACACAAAGGAGACAAGCAGCACGGCTTCCCAGGGAAGCACGTGTGTTACACCTAAAGCACCTGCCCAAGGCTTGCACCGATCTTCTCATCACATTTGACTCCAGCTGCACCTCAGGCACTCTGACATTGTCCAGAGGTATGGCTTTGAAACTGGCAGAAATGCACTTTATTCCACGACCAACAGAGTTGTCAGCATGAAACTGCAATTTCATAACGTTACCATAGGAAAGTAAATCAAGAGAAGACCTCCAACATCAGGGCACAACAGCACAAAAAGTCTGCAACCGGCTAGAAAACCAGGCAGAAAGTAATTAAATACAGAGATCTGCATCTCGTTCTCCTATCCTCCTCAGAGCAGCTTAAATGGCAAAGGCCATTCATTGACCAGAGGTCCACAGCTGACACGATATTCCATTCCCAAAGCCCAGCTGAGGTGCATTCACACCACTCGCTGTCTCTGCAGGACAAAATATGTATGGTTTAGACAGGCTTAAAGTGCCTTGGAGCTATTAAAGATAGCAGTAGAGGTGGATCTGTTCCCTATGGCACCAAGTCCAGGGAGGATCTCTTCTGGTGGGCTCTGTACCAGCCAGGCTGCCTGCGTGGTGCAGGGCGGTGCTCTGCTATACACAAACAGAGCACATGAGTCAATCCACTGCGTGTTTATTTACAGTGGAGGACAAAAGTAAATGTTTGCCTGTGAAATCCAGCTACTTTAAACAACAGATAACTCTCAAAAGTGATTCTGATCACACAGGATCACAACTTGGCAAGTTTTGCATATCTCCAGAGAAGGAGACTCCACAGCCTCTCTGGCAACCTGTGCCAGTGCTCTGTCACTCTCACAGTAAGATTTCCCTCATACTCAGATGGAACTCCCTGCATTTCAGTTTGCAGCTGTTTCCTCTTATCCTGGCACCAAGCATCACCAAAAGCAGCTTCGTTCCTGAAGTTTTAGCCAACCAGGTAAGCTGAGGGCGGTCTGAGTGTCATTGGTCTCTGTCACATTCCAGATACTCCAGCAATTAATCAAACTATACGTAGGCACCTGTGAACTTTGTTCTCACTCTCAAAGACTCCAACTAGAATCGGTTCCACACTGCTACCTGGGCACAAGAGTTCACTCTGGAGAGAAAAATATCCCCTCTAGCACAAGAGCACGTGAAATCTCAAAGCAGCACGATTCGGTTTCAGTACTGCTTCACATGTTTGAAGGAACAAGCAGAAAAACAACAATCACAATTCTTATCAGCTCTAACAAGTGCCTAGCACGGCAGAATTCTTGTTCTTTGTATATTTTTAGATTACCTTCCAGTTGCAATGTTCTGTCTGTACTGCATATCTTTTGTTAGAATTAGGATATCTGTTGCAGCAGCCTGGATAACCTTTAGCCCGAGCTACAAAACCTTCTACAGTTTCCAATTATAACAGCAATCTTTCATTCTGTAACACAAATAAACCAAAGTATTATCTCAACACAGAAGACTCACATGAATACCCAATGACTGCTGTATGATTTTACCATTTTTTTCTCTATCATTTCCTCCTATTATTTCACTAGAGATGACTGCCAAGATCCAGGCAACATAATACATTTCACTGTTTGTTTCTGAAATGGTTTACATCTACTTTATTTTTGTTACACTGTTGACATTTAACCATGTTGACATGTGAAACTGAAGGTTTTAAAATGCTGTATCTGTTCTCAATTCCCTTATATCCATACCTGTATACATACAATATGGAAGAAGAACTTAAACAGTTCAAGTAAGAGTAGCATTTCAGAGATATGGAAACGGTTTCTCCACCAGGACAATCTCAGCCTGCTACCCAACACGGATCAAGCACCCCTTTAGGGAAAGCGTTAGTCCCATCGGGTGGTACGGCACGAAATGAAACAGCAAAGGCCTTGTTAGAACAGCTGCTCTGACCTAAAGGCTATGATTAGTGGTGGGAACAATATCTTTGTCTCCTGCTCCTCTCACAAGATGAGCGATTTCGTTTGATTATTGTCTGCAGAATCCACAGCCCTGCAGAAGTTGCCCTTTGGTTCTTCACAGTGGTAGCACTGAGTTCCACCGGTGCTCAGAAGACAAGTCTGCAGCAAAGGCAGGATGGCAGGAGATAGACAGAACATTTTTTTTCCCCAGAATACTTGCTCAAGTCTGAGCAATGCTACAAAATGGAAATGACAACTTCAGTTCTAGTAGCTGTTGCCACACAGGACTTGGCAGTACAAAGGAAGAGGACAAACAGCAATCCTTCTGAATCAAAATTACTTAGACCTGGCCAGGTCTGTAGGGACTCTCTGATATTACATTTTGTCCTTCCAACAACAAAGAGGTAGGGATTGGCACATCAGACACACGTATGTTCCAGGCACCTCAACAACCCTGGAAATACCTAAAAAACACCGAGAGGGACAAAGCTGCAGAGAAGCCTCCAAAGAGAGCCAGAGCAGAACATCTCAGAAAAGAGCGAGCAGTAACAAAGAATGTACAAAGGATGAACCTCACTGGAACATACTGCACAGATCCGTTGTGGAGCAGCAAGGTGAGAACAACCAGACATCAAACCCATGGAGCACGCGGCTCTCTAACAGCTTCAGCAGGTTGGAGTGGGAGCTGAGTGAGATTGTCACTGCCAACAGCCAAGTGGCTGAGCCCTCTCCTGGGCCCTGGACTCACGGTGAGGAGCAGACTGAGCTGCTTGAGACGAACAACCAGTGGTTTTCTCTGCATAACCACTGTGTTGCTGCACCATAGAGCCGCATGAGCAGGCAGGATGCAGAGGATTTAAGCTGCCAAACGTCATCTGTCGATCTTGCAAACGAGTTTGCATCAAACAGAAGGGTCTCAATTCAGAGAAAAAGGAAAGATATTGAAAGTGCTTCCATGAGCAAAGGTGGGTAGGATACTAGCACACATGTAAGTACTAAACTGAGTGAAACTTGTCCTGGAGGTGTCACTGGGAAGACAGACAGCACATATAACACATAACTACACATAAGTAGTTAACAGAAATAAGAAGGGAAACAAATGAACATATCCAGGGCAGATAAAATTAGAGCTCAACTTAAAAGGCAGGACTAAAACCAGACTGTTTCAGTAGCCAAAAATTC